TGAGAACCTGTCGCAGCCCCGCCGCCTGCCACGCTTCCATCACGACTGGCTAGGCTTCATCGCGGCGGCGCGTCTCCATCGTCGTCATCCTCTCCTCACACACCGTGGCCCGTTAACTCCAATTCCTCAAACTCTGCCCCTGACGCCTCGACCTCCGCCAACGCTGCCTCGATCTCTGCCGCCTGAATCTGTCCAATAACCTCCTCCTATTATTGATTTGTTAACAGATTCTCGAGGCTTCGGCTCGGGCTAGCACACAGACGGGATGTGCCTGGGGCATGAATTCAAAAATTGGATAGTGTTTAGGGGCGCGTTTCCAATTTCAATAACTTTTATTATATTCAATTTGGCTCTTGGACCAAATCAGTAATTGATAAAAAAAAATAGTATTTTCTTATATATTTTTATACATAAATATATCAAGTATCTTCAACTAAAAATGATAAAGAGTATTAAATAAAAATATTATAAATATATTTTTATGATATATATAATAATTATTTCAAGTATTTGGGTTAATTTGATTAACTAATCGAATAAACTGTTCACTTCTTTCGATTTTAATTTGGATTTGCACATAAGAAATTACCCGCAATGCAGACTGAACAATAATTATAAACAAGATGCATATTAATGACTGACAGATCGGCTACACAATAGTGATAGACCAAGCGCACACTAAAGCTTTCAAGAATGCACATTAGCATAAGTATTCTTCTGCATAGTGACACCGCGTGAAAAAAAATAAAATAAAATAAAAAAATAAAAAAGAAAACCATTGTATGCTAGTGTGCATTTTAACATATATTAATAAAATAACAGAACTGACTAAACTATATAAGACATACTATTTTTATATTTTATGTATATATATATTATTTATTTTCAACACACAACAATATAAAACATTATATAAATAATAAAAATTACTAACTATATTTTTATTATATAAATAATTTGCTAAATGGAAAAATAATGTTGATTGAAAACACATTATTAAAGTTTCTAAAATGGAAATGCATATACAAAATACACTGGTCAATAGACTACATAGTAATGTTAGACGAAATTCACATCATTGTCTGCGGAAATGCACATTATTGATTTTGATATTTTATTATTATGTCATTTCAACCAATAAATAACCTAAAATATTAAAGATAAATATTAAAATGCTAAATATATTTTTACAGTATAAAAAAACATCATTTCGATTATTTATGGTAATTCGCTTAACCGATCGAATAAACCGATTAGTTCGTTTCGGTTTTAGTTTGATTTGGGACAAATTGTTAAAACAACATGTATTGTGAGTGCACAATAGTGTTAGGCGAATTGCACATTAATGACTATCAGAATACACAATAGCGGTCAAAACTGATCGAACTAAAATTTCAATTTGAAAATTTATATTATGGACCAATTATCTATTTTTACTTTAAAATTCAGTTATTTTCACTATGATTTGGCAATTCTATTATCTTGTAAAAATATGGCGGCATTTTAATGTGCATGTTCTTATATGACATTGTGCAATTTATGTATCATTATTGTGCATGTAATAAAATTTTATGAAAGTACCAATTTGACTGCGTACTAAATTGGAATAAATAGGTCCCTACGACATATCAAATTTTTCAAAAAATAAATAAATAAAATCACCGACGCCACAGTCATGGCCGCCATCGTCATCACCTACCAAGCACTACCCCCGATTGTTCCTTCTTCTGCCAAAATAAAAAATAATAAAATCGGTCAATTCGGCCACTTGCTCAACGTCGGCAATGAGCTCGAGGCGACTCACTATGGATGCGACGAGACCATTCAAGTCGCGTCGGACTGCACACCTCGGACGACTAGGAAACGACGGTTGGTGACGGCGACGACGATATGCAGAGGAGCTGGTGACGGTGGGCTGCAGTAGACGGAAAAAAGATGTCGATAGCAGTTGCCGGCGGTTGTCATGGTGGCCGGTGCATACCTGGTGCATGTGTGTGTCAACTGTGTGTGTGCAATGTTTGTGTGAGAGTTATGATATTTTAGTGTCTGTTTTGGTGCGTGAGAGAGATAGGGTGGGGTGAGTTGGAGTGGGGTCCATTAGATTAGCTTTAATTGTTATTGTGATGACAATTAATATGGTTTTAAGATGAACTTTTCTAAACACTGGATAGACTCATTCGTAATATAATATGCGGTTTTGCTATCAGAGAATATGGTAGGTTTATTTGTTGTATATAGAAGGTTGGCTCCACTATGGAACCAACTGTTGGCTTCATAGCAAAACCGATATAATATGTATATACATTCTTTTGTTGTGTGTGTAAATGGATGAGTTTGCATAGATGTAATTAATACCCGTACAACTTTTGTGTAGAATAATTACCATAGTTATGTGTGGATGCCTCTTCATCGTTTTATTGAAATTGGCTAGTTTCTAACTCTGTAAATAGATTCTCAATCTCATGATATGGGGCCACATTCAAGTCGAGCAATAAAGCGCCACCAGACAAAGATAATACTGTGATTGGAAGAGTATCTGTTATCTCCTCATTGCTTGACGATTCTGAATTAACTGGAGCAATATTCACGTCTCATATAAGAGCATCTTCAATGCATGAATGTTGTTATTACATAAATTTTGACAAATGTCAATGAACTAGATGGATTGTGAACCACATACGAAAATTTTTAAGTTCACAACTTTAAATCTAAAAAAATATCTCCAATGCACTATGTTTGATATATTGTCCACTTGGCTAAAAAAAAAAAAAAAAAAAAAAAAAAAAAATCTATAAATAAGAAAGAAAATAAATTAAATAATTAGATATTTTGAAAATGGTAATAATATTTCTCTCTCTTCTCTTTATTGGTTGACTGAATGTGAAAGATAATGTGGATGAACCAAATTCTTTTCTACATTGTACACATTAATTATATCCACCTCATCACTATATTTGTGATAACATTGTGCATTGGAGGGTTAAAAGTAGAGAAATTGCTAAGTTAGTTAATGCAGAGTGTACTTCACTACAACTACACTTGAGCATTGGAGATGCTCTAAATTCTTCTTGAGCATTTTGATTTTTATTTGAAGTCATTAATTGTTTGAGTTTTGTTTCTTGACTTGCATCTATATAAATGCAACAAAAATTAAAAATTCCTTTTAAATTTGGCTCCATCTTTATTTTGAAAAATAGTTCTTAAATTTTAAATTCGGAGTGCCACAAAAAATTGAAGGCAGATGAAAATTATCAGTGAAAATAGATGATGAAACTGAAGTCACCGCCTGATTTTTTATACTTATCCATATGAAAATGGAGAGAGAAACATAGTACTTACAATAATAATCTAGACACTAAAATTACAACCCATTGAAATCATGATTTAGATGTTTTAAATTAAAACAAAATGCATGAAAAAACAGAAAGAGTAATAGAACTTCCCCAACATAAATAAATCAACATCAGAAAACATTTTTTTCCAAAGGCTTAACATCATCAGCCATACATATAGTGAATATAAACTACAATTAAACCAATAAATAAAAAATAAAAATCATAATATTACAATCAAAAAATAAACATATGAACTCATACTTAAACTAATGTCCATAAAAAAATCCTCTAATGAAAATAAAAAAATATTCCACTAAAGCGTCTGATTCATCTCGGGTGACTATGGGTGGGGAACGTGAGGAAATCGTTCAGATTGGTAGTATCTTCGTGAGTCTCCCATTCACCACCATTATCATTTCACTGCGATTAGATCTCAGCGCATGGGAAGTGTGTTCTTGAATCTTTGTCTGAAATTCGGATATGCCTTAGACCAAACGAGATGAACCAATGAGAAGTTGAGTCAAAAAAAAAATTAGGAACAAATTTAGAGACTTGGATTTGTGTTTGTGGTTTTTTCTTTTCAGGAAGCAAACTCAAATATACATTAATTGATATTATTTAATTATATTGATAATATTGATGATAGTGAGATTGAATTAAATTTGAGTTAAAAAAATAGTTGAGTTAAAAATGATTGAATTTTTTTTGGATGAATTTGTATCCAAACATCTTCTAAAGACTAAAAGCAATTCCTGATGGTGGTGTGTGAGAAAGAGAGAGAACTGAAAAGGGAAGTAGTAAAAGAAAAAGAAAAAATTAAAAATAGATTGTAGAACTACAAATAAAAACGAAGATTTATAAAAGTTAAACAAAAAAAAAAAAAGGAAGGGAATTAAACCGCAGGTATAAGTTAATCTGGGTTTCGGTTACTCTTGGAACAGACCCACATCAGATATCTAGAAACCCAAGATAGGACCCAATTTAAGTTCAAGCTCCAAGGCCCAGTTTAAAGTTCATATATAGTGGAATTGCTGCACCAGCTCACCCTTTCTCTACGACATTTCCATTCGATCAGCGGAGAGCTCACATCCACCGAGGTGAAACCCTAATTCCTTTTCTTATGTCTTTTGATATTCGATTAAAGATTCATCAATCCGTTAGATACAACATATAAACTCATGCGCACAGCAATTTCTCAAGCAACTTCTTTTTCCTCGTATTTTATGTACCTTGAATCGCCCATCTTTGCTGTGAACCAAGTCAATAATCTCTGGTTTCGTGACGTCTAGGTATATAACTTGTCGTTCTTATAAATAAATAAATAAATCATCCGAGGAATTTAGCATTCAGCTCGTTTCATATGTATTATCTTGTAATTTGTGAAAATTAACAGAGAGCTGAAATCCAATAAGTCTTTCTTGTTAAAGACAATGAATCTTAGTGTGCTTGATGTGATGTGATCATATATGGAAATATTCCTTCTTCTTTCTCCTGATTGTTGCCACAAAAATACACCCAATTCCTATTGTTGTTTCTATGCCTCCCACATCTAATAATCTTTTCTGTTTGTTTCACAACAGCTTAACCGGCCCTGCCAACCCCACTGGAAAACAAAAGCAAGAGCCAAAAATAAAATAAAATAAAAGGCTGATTTTTTTTTTTCCCATGGGTACCCCTGAAACATCCCGAGAGCCCTGCCCTGACCGAATCTTGGACGACGTGGGTGGTGCCTTTGGCATGGGCGCAGTTGGTGGAGCCGCTTTCCACTTCCTCAAAGGTATCTACAACTCCCCAAAGGGCGAGCGCCTAGCTGGCGGCTCCCAGGCTGTGCGAATGAACGCCCCACGCGTAGGTGGCAGCTTTGCCGTGTGGGGAGGCCTCTTCTCCACGTTCGACTGCAGCATGGTGTATCTTCGGCAGAAAGAGGACCCTTGGAACTCCATCATAGCCGGAGCAGCCACAGGTGGCTTCCTCCAAATGAGGCAAGGCCTTGGGGCCGCCTCAAGGTCGGCTGTCTTTGGTGGTGTGCTTTTGGCCTTGATTGAAGGTGCTGGGATCATGCTTAATAAGATTATGAGTGCCCCACAGAATCTGCCGCCTATGGAAGAGCCTGTGCCTGCTGGGCTCCCGTCCATGGGGCAGATTCCGGGTCAGGGCTCGGTGAGTGTTGAGAGTGCACCTTCTTCGGCCACGTCATCATCTTCGTCGTGGTTTGGGGGATTTTTTGGTGGTGGGAAGGAGGAGGTGACAGTGGGTGATAGTAGCAAGACGAATGTTCTTGAGAGCTTTGATGCGCCTGCCCCACCGTCGTTCGAGTACAAATGAATGATTCTTTGGGGGATATGGTAAGTGACTTGTTGAGTGGATCTTTTTTTTTTTCTTTTTCTTTTTTTTTTTCTTCTTTCACCTTNAAAAAAAAAAAAAAATTGAAAAATAAAAGACTTTGATTAGTGCCTTGGGAAATTACAAAATTGAGGATGGGTTTGAAGTCGCTGTGTTGAATGAAAAAGCATCTCTAGATGAAATTTCAAGGATCGGCAACCATTGTTGTAAGACATGATTGACAAACAATGTTAAAATGGATTGGTTGTTAGGGTTTAACATGCATTGGGTGGAATCAATTGATGCAAATGGGGAATTGTTATTAAAATTTAGCAACTTCAGCTTTTCCACTCAATTTTAGTTCCAACTGATGCTATTTTCCTTTTCCCCCACGGTAATTGTGTGTGCGTGTGTATGTGTGTGTGTGTATATATATACATATATTTTTTTGTTCTTTATGCATTTTGCTCTTATTCATCTGCTCGGTAATTTTAAACAAGTTTCGTTCATGACTTGTAGTTTGATTTATTTTATTTTATTTTTGGATCAATGTTTAGGAGTAGCCGCGTATGGTATTGGTTGGACTCCAGTGCCATTGGCGATCTATCTGAAATTGGGAATTGATGACAAAACTGATTGAGTAGTACTCTGTTAGAAGTTTCATCCAAGTATCTTTGGTTTGATCGTGTAATCTGGTTCTTTTATGATTACCTTACTTTTTTGCTGGACGTGCCATGAATATCAGGTTTTTATTTATAAATGTTGTGGCTTCTTATTAATTAGTTTGTAAGGCAATGGTTGCTCGTTTAGAATAAAACCCTGCTTCTGTGTTTCCACAACATAGGATGTAATATGACACTTCCTTCATCAATCCTGTATAATTTTTGTTTCAGGTGGCTCCATGACAGCAGAAAATCTGGTCTTGTGGATCTGACAGTCTACTCTAAATTTTAGAGCATCTTCAATTTTAAACTTTTGAAAAGAGTACATTTTTAACACATGTCAAATAATGAATGGAATGTACCATGTAATATGAATGTGAAAAGGATAAACTTTGATTTGGAATACATATCTCAAATGCATCCATTCAAAAGCATAAAATTGGTATAGGTGGATTTTATTTTCTTTAATAATAAATAAAATAAATAATATTAAAACTAAATCAAAAGAAAGAAAAAATCCTTCATTATTAGATTTTGATCAATTGACTTTCATCAGAATGTGGGAAACTGTATGGAGGTTTAATTTATCCATGTAATCATAAAAAAGTTCATAACATTATGGATTGGGGAATAATTTTTGTACTGACTTTATAATTTGACGATGTAATTAATATTTTATTGAGTTAACATAGTGAAAAAAATAAGTTGAAATATGACTTGTCCTCATAATGCTCTCCAGAATTGACAGATGGGAACAATTTTCCCATTTTTAATACTACTTATAAAATTACATATTCTATAATCAATACGTTATTTTATTATTTATATACGATATTATTAGTTACAATTACAACACTATCTTGTGACATTCTACATAAAAATATTGACCATCTTGTGGGAATATTTGGGTAATTCGCCGTTGTTTACAGAAAAATAAACATTGACCATCTTGTGACATTTTACTCATATTAATTCTCGAAATTATTCCCTATACTAAAAAATAAATATAAGATTAAAAATGTTATTTATATTAATATAAATAAGTTGGCGTACTAATCGGTCAAGCGACGTTCTAGTCTTGTATATGTTCGAAGTTCGAACTAACAGATTCGAGCTAAAAGGAAGTCTTAATTTAAACAGAGAAAACTTTTACCTAACGTTATTTTTTTTTTTTTCCCGAACTTTAGATAACTCGGCCTTGACTCATTCAACCTCTTTACGTAAAAAGGCACAAGAGAACAAAACACAACNTTTTGGGCGTCTGCTGGGGTTCGACTTGACTTGAGTTGACCAAAGCCCCTATAAGAGAACCATCCAAGAATCTTTCTTTTGGCATGGCACCTCTTAATCTCTTCATCTTACTAATCCCCGCCTATCTTCTTCAAATAAACTCACAAAATCTTTCTTCTGAACAAGATTTTCTACTAAACCTGAAACAACACTGGAATAATCCCAACTCACTAAACTCATGGACCTCATCTTCTTCCTCACCTTGCCATTGGCCTGAAATCGAGTGCACTTCAGGTACAGTCACAGGCCTATACTTAGCCGGGAAAAATCCCGACCTCAATATGCCAGCAGCTCAAAAGCCTCATTTCCATCAACCTATCCAAGAACAATTTGTCGGGGCAAATACCGGTAAGCCTGCACAGTTGCTCATACCTGCAAAAACTGGATCTTTCATCAAATATGCTTTCAGGAAATATACCGGGTGAGTTTTTTCGTATGAAAACCTTCTACATTTGTTCCTTAACGGAAATAGATTGTCCGGTGTTATACCAACACCAATAGAGGCACCCAGTTTGGAGTTTCTTGATCTCTCTAATAATCAGTTGAATGGATCAATCCCGGATTATGTAAGCAATTTACACGGTCTTCTACATTTCGATTTATCCATGAATTCATTTGTCGGGAACATCCCAAGAGGCTTGTTTGGTTTGGACAGAATGTACTCTCTTTTGTTAGGTCACAACAACTTGTCTGGTCAACTGCCGACAAATTTGGGCTTGACCAGCTTACAAGTTCTCAATCTTACTCACAATAACTTAATAGGGATGCTACCAAAAAATCTACGCGAATTAACAGCTCTAAGCTCGTTGGATTTATCTAATAACCAGTTCTCTGGTGACATCATGGATGACTTCATTCTTTTGAGCTCCATCAGTGTGCTTAGGCTTTGTTCAAACAAATTCTCGGGAGAAATTCCACGTGAGTTTGTGAATAAGAACTTTGATAATGAAAATTGCATGGATGATTTCAATCTCCGTTCGGACTATGGTTATGAGAGTTTACCAAATTGCCCCTCTAGCTTCTGCTCGGACAATAGGTTTCACATGTATCTAAAATGCAATAGTTCCAAGCACAACGTGCATCGCATTTTAATAATAGTGTTAGGAATTGGCTGTGGGGTTACAGGGTTTGCAATATTTACCTACTTGGCAAGGAAATGTTGGCTTAAGAAAAATAAGATGAACTTAGCAGAATTGAAGAAAATCTGGTGCAGTGGCCCTCCTACGGAAAATGAAGAAATATGGAAAACGATTTCATTTCAAAAGCTAAAGTTCAACAAACACGAGATTGTAACGAGCTTGACAGACGGAAATCTCATAGGAAATGGAGGCTCAGGAAAAGTGTACCGAGTTTATATCAACCAAACAGGAAGCATGTATGCTGTCAAAAGCATATCGAATTCGACAAAATCTAACCACCGGCTTGAGAAGGAATTTATGGCCGAGATTGAGACACTGGGGACTATCAGGCATTACAATATAGTAAAGCTCTTTTGTTGTATGTCAAACAACAACATGAAGCTTCTCATGTACCAATATTTCGAGAATATGAGCCTTGATCAGTGGCTGCATGACAACAAGAGGGAATTAGTATCGTCAGATGGTGATAATAATAGTTCAATCACAAAACTGGATTGGCCAATGAGGTTGAATATTGCGATAGGTGCAGCCCAAGGCCTTTGCTACATGCACCATGATTGTTCTCCACCTGTAATCCACCGAGACATTAAATCGAGCAATATACTATTGGACACTGAATTCAATGCTAAAATAGCAGATTTTGGTCTAGCTAAGTTGCTAAATGGGCATGGAGATACAGAGACAGCATCTGCTGTAGCTGGAATTTTTGGCTACATTGCCCCTGGTATGCATTTTATCTCATATTTTAATTTAGTGAGGAAAAAAGAATAAGTGATTGCTAGCTTTACAAGAGGAGTAAAATACAACTTTTTGTGTTTTAAATGCCAATCTTAAATTCTACAAAATTCAAAAGCAGGAGTGTAGGTGGTAGTGCTTTTGATTTGTAGAAGTAAAAGACAAGTATGTTTTGACATTCTTATCCTTATTTATTTTGAATTAATTTTTTAGTATAAAATAACTATTTGTACACTGCTTTAGTTATATTGGAAACCACATTACAGAACAATTTCTGGACTTCTAATTCTCAACAACATTACAGTTCTAGTATAAATCTCTCTTACCTAGGATAGAATTTACCTGAAGCACCATGTGCCTCATTTAATTATAATGAAGTGGATTATTTTTAACTCATATTCTAATACACACCTTCCGAACCATTGAACCACAGAGTATGCCTACACGAGTAAAGTGAACACAAAGAGCGATGTTTATAGCTTTGGGGTAGTTCTACTTGAACTGACTACAGGGAGAAAGGCAGTTACTCGAGGAGAACATACAAATCTAGCTGGATGGGCACTACAACAATTCAGGGACACGGATGCCCTTTTTTACGCATTGGATGAGGAGATCAAGGAACCATGTATTTGGATCAAATAATCACCGTTTTCCGATTAGGAGTTGTCTGTACTGCCACATCACCTTCCAATCGACCATCCATGAGAGATTGTCTGCATATTCTTCATAACTGCAGTAACAAGTTTTCTTCACAAAGTACTTTGACCCTAGAAGCGTCCTAAGATTTTTGTCGTTGGTTCAGGTGTATGGGTGCATATTTATGTGAAATATTCTGTAACTACATTTCCAAGTCAAAAGTTGAAAATTGAATTTTCATATTTCCTCAAATGTTGAAAATCAAATCTTAATATTTCAAGTTGATATGTTAAAGTTCAAATAACACAATTATTGTGAGAACGATAAGTTGACAATTATAGATCTATAAATATTAAATATACAGTTGTGAGATCACAGCAGCATATGTGCACAACAATATTGAACATGGAAAAGAGAACACATACATATTCAGAAATTGTTACCCGAGATGAAAACTCTCAGGTGCAGGCTCAATGGATGCTTGAACAAGCACTCCCAAAATCATCAAGTTCTAACGTCACTAATATTCATTCAGGGTTGAAAACTGCAGCCATATGGGTTTAGAATACAAGCGTAAGACCTGTGAGAACAAATGATGGCACATTAATTAAAGTTTTTTGTGATGTGAAGAATTCTAGGTTGAAAGTAATTAAAGTTAGTTTGTATGACTTTGTGGCCTGTCTTTTATTTTTTTTCTTTCCTTCTCTTTTCTCCTTTTTCAGATCATACTTTAATTTGATTGGCATAAGATGACACTGGAGAAAAAGGGGGTCGGATGAGTAGATAAACAAGAAGGTTTCCTGTTTGTATATTCTATAGTGATTCTTCTTACAAACATTGTCGCCATATAGCAAGATATAAAAAGAAGCACAAGGAAGTTGCACAAAACTTTTCTAGCTCATGGGAGACAGAATTTTGATCAGTACCTGATAATAATTCCTTCACAGATAGTCGCTATGCCGATGGTTGAATGCCGTCACTCATGCCTCAGAACCTTTAGACAAATGCTTTTGGATACTTTAAATATTTCATCTTCAGATTGTTATATACCTTCCAACTTGAACACCAAGAAAAAAACTTTGTTAACAAGTTAGCCAAGGTTTAATCTTCTGCTGGAAGTATTTCGCCAGCTACTTATAGATATAAGGAATGTAAGTGGAAGAATTAATATGATGAGAACCATAAGCTACAGTGCTTTCTACATTACCTTATGTATTAAGAATCTAAATGTGTGCTATCTTCCATCATCATGACTTCATATACCAAGTCAAGAATCTTGTGAATCTCATCTCCATCTTCAACTAACAAACAACCTGCATGAAATTCATGAAGATGTCCATCCATCTCGATCCAGCTACATCCCGGGGTCTTAGTTACACCCTTCTGTTTCATTAACAATCTCATTCTAGCACAATCGTCCCACCTCCTCATATCAGCATATATTTTTGACGAGATAATATAGTTGCCAGAATTTGAAGGTTCCAATTCTAACAGAAGTTCCATGGCCTTTTCACCAATATCCACGTTTTTTAGCTTCTGGCAGGCACCCAGCAAAGCCCCTAATAAAATCTCGTCCGGTTTCTGTGGCATTTTCTGAATAAAGTCCCAAGCTTCATAAATCCGTCCGGCACGGGATAGAAGATCAACCATGCAAGAGTAGTGCGCGACTTTTGGAGTTAGCCCGAAAGATAAGCTCATCATATTAAACAATCTACGACCTTCATCGACCAAACCTGCATGAACACATGCAGAAAGAACCCCGACAAAAGTGATATCATCTGGACACAAAACCTTTTCCTCATCCAACATGCGTTGAAATAAGGCGAGCGATTTCTGTGCATTCCCGTGAAAAGCAAGTCCAGATATCATTGCATTCCAAGAAACATGGTTTCGAAGAGGCATACTTTCAAATACGCGTGACGCGTATTCCAAATTCCCACATTTCGAATACATGTCAACTAGAGCAGTAGCTACATAAATGTTACACTGCAACCTTCTTTTGGACGCATATTCATCGATCCATTTCCCAGTATCAAGAGCTCCAACTGACGCACAAGCAGCTAGAACCGCAATCAGTGTGACTTCATTAGGTTCAGGTCCCGTCTCCATCATGTCATTGAATAATTTCAGAGTTTCATCTGTCTGTCCATTTTGTGAGTATCTGTTTTCACAATAAACCCAAAATCAAACCATCGGAAACGTAGTAAAAGTACCACATGCAAGAACCTGTATTATGAAATGTGGTTAACAAGATAGGCCCTGCAAATTAAAGATGAACCAATAAATATATAAACAAGCTAATTCTGCATGGAGAAATATATCTACCCAGTAATTAGGGAATTCCAAATGACTAGCTCTTTCCTTTTCATGCTATCAAAAACCCTTCGTGCAGACTCGAGTTCCCCACATTTCCCGTACATATTAATCAAAGCAGAACCAATATATGAATTATACTCCAACCGTTTCTCAACAACATACCCCTCAATCCATCTTCCCAGGCTGAGGTCCCCCAAATCACCACAGGCAGCAAGCACGCTCACGAGCGTCATCTCATCGGGTTCAAATCCATCATTCCTCATCTCTCCAAACATTTCGACCGCCTTCCGTGCAAACCCTAACCTCGAGTATCCCGATATTATCGAGTTCCATGAAACCATATCCCGATCAGTCATTTCATAGAACAGGTTCCGAGCACAATCCATCTCTCTGCAGCGCGAGTACATCGTGATCAAAGAATGAACCACGTGGAAATCCGCTCGCAGCCCAGATTTCACAACCTCGGAATGGACAGTTTCCCCCATTCTCAGGGCTGAAATGTTCCCACAGGACTTGAAGATGAACGGGTACGTGAAATTGTCCGGATTCACGCCAAGCGATTTCATCTCGATGAGTAATTGTAAGGCAAGGTCGAATTTCTGCCACGCAGTGACCAACCCCCTGATCATCACGTTGAAGGCGTAGCTGTTGAGGGGGATTTGGGGAAAGAAAAGAGTGGAGTAGCTGAAGTCCTTGAGGTCGATTAGTTTGGCGAGGATGTAATTGGGCATGGGCATCGCTATGGAGCGAACGAGCATCTGGGCGTGAACCTGCTGCACTGATCTGGACGATTTGCAGCGTTCGAGAAGGAACAAGAGACGGCTTATTAGGTTTTGAGGTCGCCGGAGCTGGCTACTGGCATGGGGGACAAATTTGGCGCGAAAACTCATTTGGATGGTGCGAGGAAGACGTACATAGATGTTTTTGATATTCTGAACGAAAGTTCTTTGTTAGTCGCTTGAGCTGAACATCTGGCGAGACTGATATTTCCGGGTTGCAGAAGACCGGCCCAGTCTAGACTACACACCTCATTGATGGCTAAAATATATAACCCTACTAACAACAAGGCTTAGAGAAAAACGGGTCGGGTCGGATATGAGTGTGGGTTTCGACAAACTCAATCTCAACCCGCATAAGTTTTACCCTACTCGAACCCGACCCATCAACTATTTATAAGTCTCCAGTTTCAGGTCGGATTTAACATGGCGAGTGAACGGGTAACCTGATTTCATCCAACGGTACATCGATCTGACTCGTATAATATAAAAATAAATAAATATTATTCTACTACACAGTTAGTATAATATAACTAATAAATTGTCATCAAGGTTCGAAAAATAAATTAAAAATTTAACAAATATTTATATTTTAAAAAAAAAAAATACAATGAGATTTATTCTTTTATGATCTAGTTAATAGTATAATGTTTCTAATAAATAATGTGCATGGCTATATAAAATTTAGTATGAAAATACAAGTAATAATACAAGTACAAAAAGGCTAATTTTTTTTTTTTGTAAATTTTTGCTATTATGTTATACTAGTACGTCCTCGTGCGATGCACGAGACAGAGGTATTAAATGAGTTATTTTCGTAGGTTTTGCTAAAAGGTAATAGGATTATCATCTATTTTTCACTTATTTTAATCAGCGTTATGTCTAAAAAATAATAGGTTATAATCTATTTTCCACCTCTTTTAATCAGCGTTGTTTTTTTTAGCAAGAACATTAAATATGAGTAGGTTAGCTTGTAAAATAATTAATATATTATCTCACTAACACATTTATACTAATATAATTAGATTTAGTATATATATTTATTCATTGATATAAGAGAAAATAACAGTTTTACTTATTATTGTTTACCGTATAATACTTAATTATTATTTTATTATAAACTTTGTTGTCATATAATATCATTACTATTTATAAAAGCTATATAAGTTGTACGTCTCCTATTTCTTTTTATTTTATGCAATGAAAAATATTTAATGCACGTTTGTGTTATTTATTTATATAATCAATTTAAAATATGTAAATAAATTAAAATTAAACAATGTATAAATATTTTACATAATATACACACATGTTTTTTTAGAAATTTAATTTTGTATACTAAATAAACAAATTTGATTTAGCAAATGCCAAAAACTCAATTCTTCTATGATCAAGATTTTTCTAATTTGTATCATAAGGTTTATTTAGCATACTCTGCAATGAAAATATATTTTACAAGAATGTCCAAAAAAAGGTATGCATTAAATGCTTTCAAAAAATTTTACTACTATTTTTAATAAATGGATATTCTTATTATATATATGGATAGATATATAAATTAATCATTTCTTAATTCATAGGTTGTACAACAGAAGTATATTTTATAAAAACATTCATGTTGAGTTTGTATTACATAATAATATAAAATTAAAAACTACTAGAAAGGGTTGAAAAACTTAATTCTTATTATATATATAGATAGATATATAAATTAATCATTTCTCAATTTATAGTTTGTATAACAGAAGCATATTTTTATAATAAACATTCTTTTTATATATTGTATTTAGCATCGATGATAACCTAATAGTGCTAGCTTGAATTACTTATAAGAAATTCAAGTGTGTCAAATACAAGGTATAAGATCAAATTTCTTCACTGATTATTTTTTATCATACATATGCAACTTATATAGTTATAAAAAATAAGTTACTAATTTTTTTTTTACAATACAATTATAATAAAATTGGATACCAAAATAATAATAATAATAATAATAATAATAATAATAATAATAATAATAATAATAATAATAACAATAATAATAACAATAATAATAATAATAATAAAAATGAGAAATGCTATAGGTACATAATATTGGACATAGGGGTGTACATAACACTCACATTGAGTGGGACCGACCAAAAATAAAAAATCAAGTGGACCTTACTCCATGTGAGTGTTATGTACACATCTGTGTACATTTATTATATACTTGCAGTATTTTTCATAATAAAATTAACGGTCAGGATAAAAAGCAAAAGTTCGAGTGGTCAGAGCCGTCGGATGAAGCTCAAAATCAACAGACAGGATAAAAAAGCAGAAGGTGAAAGGACATGCATTTAATGCGGAGTCTGAACAGGTGAGAAATACGAGGGGTCGATTATTTTATTAAAATAAAAAAAAATTCTGTGGCAAAAAATAAAACAAAAAAAATGTTGTGGAAATGTATCAAACGACCAGATTTTCAAAATCTATTTTTTATTTTTATTTATTTTTTTTTTATTTATTTATTTTTTTAATGCGTTTTTAAGTTTTTTCTAAAATAAATAAATAAAAAATAAGTAAAAATAAAAACGGATTATAAAAAATAAAAAAAAAAATTATAAACGGATAAAATGGATTTCAATTGAAGTCAAATTAGTACAATCTCGGTCAATTATAGTATAATCGACCTCGAATTAGTCCAATTGAAGTCAAACTAGTACAATCTCGGTCAATTATAATGTAATCGAACTCGAATTAGTCCAATTGAAATCAAATTAGTCCAATTGAAGTCGAATTAATACAATCTCGGTCAATTATAATGTAATCGAACTCGAATTAGTCCAATTGAAGTCAAATTAGTACAATCTCGGTCAATTATAGTGTAATCGACCTCTAATTAGTTCAATTGAATTCGAATTAGTACAATTTGACTAATTCGAGTTCGATTGCACTATAATTGACCGAGATTGTACTAATTCGACTTCAATTGGACTAATTCGAGTTCGATTACACTATAATTAACCGAGATTGTACTAATTAGACTTCAATTGGACTAATTCGAGTTCGATTACACTACAATTGACCGAGATTGTACTAATTTGACTTCAATTGGACTAATTCGAGTTTGATTACACTATAATTGACCGAGATTGTATTAATTTTACTTCCATTGGACTAATTTGACTTCAGTTAGACTAATTCGAGTTCGATTACATTATAATTGACTGAGATTGTACTAATTTGACTTCAATTGGACTAATTCGAGGTCGATTAAACTATAATTGACCGAGATTGTACAAATTTGACTTCAATTGGACTAATTCGAGTTCGATTACACTATAATTGACTTCAATTGGACTAATTTGACTTCAATTGGACTAATTTGAATTCAATTGGACTAAATCGAGTTCGATTACACTATAATTGACCGAGGTTGTACTAATTCGAGTTCGATTACACTATAATTGACCGATATTGTACTAATTCGACATCAATTAGACTAATTCGAGTTCGATTACACTATAATTGACCGAGATAATACTAATTCGACTTCAATTGGACTAATTCGAGTTCGATTACACTATAATGGGCCGAGATTGTACTAATTCGACTTCAATTGGACTAATTCGAGTTCGATTACACTATAATTGACCGAGATTGTACTAATTTGACTTCAATTGGACTAATTCGAGTTTGATTACACTATAATTGACCGAGATTGAACTAATTTGACTTCAATTTGACTACTTCGAGGTCGATTACACTATAATTGACCGAGATTGTACTAATTTGACTTCAATTGGACTAATTCGAGTTTGATTACACTATAATTGACCGAGATTGTACTAATTCGACTTCAATTGGTCTAAAACCCTTAAACCTGAAAACTCTAACGTTGCCAGTTCATAATTTTATCCATTGGAAGCAGAGAAGCAACAATGGCAGCCCCGCACCTAGCAAATCTGATAACAAAATCGTGTCTCCGGAGACCATTGGCAAGCTTTTGCAGAGCACCCAAAAGCTATCTCAATGCCCAAAGCAGGATTTTTGGAATCAACACAGTTTCCTCGCAAGGGTGTCCTAGCAGGATATCGCCGGCGTCGGCCGCCGGTTTTAAGATGTTTGGTGGTACCGGGTTCGGGCCTGTGCAATTTGGTATTCGCTCTTTTCGAGTTTCGAGCGGCCGCGGAGCTGGTGGTGGTTCTGGAGGCTACGGCGCCGGAGGGTCTAGTGGTGGTGGTGGAAGTGGTGGCGGTGGAGGAAATGGTTCGGGTCTGCTTTCATGGTAGATATTTTATATGTACTTCTTTTGTATGCTTAGGCCTTTTTTGTTTTTCCCCAATTGAGTTAATGCATGTTAAAGAACTCTTTGTTTTGTTTTGTTTTCTGTGCATTTGCAACTTTGGGATTGTTACTTTGGAACTGCTTAGGTTAGCTGAGCTTTCAACATTTTTGTGCAAGTTCGTTATGCGAGTTGTGAGGCCTCGAAGGAAAACCAGTAGGAGGTTAGCAACGTGTTGAGATGCTGATTCTTCGCCAATGGATTGTCAATTAATAGCTTAAGAATATGATAATACATGTGAATATGCTGTGCTCGTTTGTCGTTCTCTTGTAACAAAGTGCCACTTGCTCGTTTAATTTGTTTCCTAAAATTTTGTGCAGGTATCTCTCCTTGCCAAGCATCCTGTGATGACAAAAGCAATTACATCCGCATTTTTAACTTTGGTTGGAGATATGATCTGCCAGGTAGACTGTCTATTGCATGTGATAAAGAGCATGTAATTAACCAGAATGAATGATGGGAAAGGAGAAATAGAAAAGCTTTTTTCTTCCTTTCTTGATTACGTGCTTGAAAGCAAATAAGCAATAGGTATTGGAGTTGGATACTTTGTCGAGTTCTCAGTTCTTACTGTCTACAAAAAGATTTCTAACTCAAGAAATTCTCAATACGTCTGAGGAGATGAATTTTTCGGCGAGCATAAATGCAAATTTCAAGAAAAAAAGACTGGCTATGTTTCGTTACAGGAGTCATTGAGTTACGAGTTTAATCATAGTGTTCAAGTCATTATAATGCATATACATTTATATGAATTTCCTTTTCTGACTGCTACTGTTGGTAATTTATGGAAGGATTGTATGTTTTATGGAGGAGATGACACAATCGCTTTAGTAATTCATATGCCCAATCTTGATTATTCAGTTTAAACTGTTGACGAAGGACCAGAGCCAATATCTCTTTATCCTCAGTTGAAATTTACTAGTGAACTGCTTAATAAAGACAGACAACTTTTTGCGGTACACATATATGGTGTCTTTATTTGGAAATGGTCTACCTCATGCTTTTAAAAAGACACTTGAACTCTTAAATACTTTTCTTATTGTCATCTTTTAGTCATGGCCTAAAAACTGATGATGTCTGCTTCCACTTTGAATCGCAGCTTGTAAACCAGTTGTTATTACTATGACGTTTGAATATCTTTCACCAAGGTTGCTAATATATTTGCTTGTACTGTATCTGAAGTCTGAACTTGATTAAGTTTCAACTTTCTAGTTATTTAACCTTTTAATTGTTCTATCATGCTTGCAATTGACTCATTTGTTGTGATCCTCAGCTTGTGATTGATCAAGTACCATCTCTTGAGGTGAAGCGGACATTTCTGTTCACACTGTTGGGCCTGGTTTTGGTTGGTCCAACATTGCATTTCTGGTGATGTTCTGAATGCCTAATATTTGCAATCACACCTTGAATGGTGCATAACTTCGTTACATATGTTATAATATGTACATATATCAATCAATTCGCATTTTGGTTTCATTTAACCACAAGTAGCATTCAATAGAATGCTGGAGAAGCCTTAATAGCATAACCTAGAAACTAATATTAACTTTTTGTATTGCATGTTTAGGTACTTGTATTTGAGTAAACTGGTTACGACTCCCGGATAGGCATGATTTAGTGAGAGAAACTGCAAGAAAATGACAAAATTTTTAAAATTTATATAATATATGATTTTTTCTTTTTCCGGTTAGCACAATTTAGGTTCAGCCGGTTTAAGTGTTACGCCTCTCTGCTCTATCTCAACTAGTAATCAACATGTGGATTTGCACAAATATAAATTCTTAGAAAAGAAAATAAGAAACTAAAAGAAACAAAAATACTAAATCATAATTAATTCAAGAAAAAATATTAATTAAGAAAAGAATTCTAATATTATTAAAAAATATTTTATATACAACATTTATATTTTATATACAATATTTTAATATAACGCCATAGAAAATTTGACATCTCTTGATCATTAGGTAATGCTTTTTAGTTAAATGACATTAGTAACATAATATTGCACCATAACATTTGGATTTAGAATAAGAAAAAATATATAAAATTAGAATATGGCAACATGATAATGAGATATATTGGTGTTTGAAAAATAATTCATTATTAATGATTTACACTATTAGATATATTGTTTTTTCTTGTAGGTGAATATATATATATATATTGAAATAGATGACTGGATATTTTTAGTTTTATTTCTTAATTATTTGATTTTGTAATTTTGGAATCTGAATTATTGTGTGAATCATTTTTACGTACTCAAGCATAAAAAAATTGAATATATATATATATATATATAATACATATATAAATAAAATTTTTGTTACATTCATTCAACAAATAAGTAAAGTGAAAAGGAAATAGGCATGAATTCTATCATATCATATCGAAGAATGAGCATTACATCATTTTGGACTGAATTATTGTATAAAACTATTTTTATGTAATCAAAATAAATGAAATTTGAAAAGGAAATAAGTATGAATTCTTCTAGCGCTCAGATCAAATAATGATTGTTACATAATGTGATTGATGGGGAAGGGGTGATAAAAAACGTTACACAATTGAGATGAGTAAAGAAAAAAAAACAAATTAAATATTTTGTAACCGATTTTGAAGGGAAAGTGAAATAACATTATTAATTGTGTTGCTCCTCTTTATTATATATATATATATATATATATTATATAATATTATATAATATAAAGCAGTTGGGGCACTGTACCATTCTGTTATATTTTAATTGACAGCTTACCTATTTTTTTCACACGTCCCATTTTTAAGTTGTGATGACCTTTTTGCCCTTAGCTTAAGAGTCCCACTTCTAGGCCGAATCTGCCTCCTCACCGCAATACATAATTCAGAATCGTCGACATCTCGCTCTTTTCCCCACGAGCTGACCAAGTCGGCCATTTTGTGTGCTGCGCTTTCTTCTCCCTTATACCCATAACTCTATCTTCTCCACATAAGGTAAACTTCAGGGATTGGCACCAATTTTGTGTGTTTTTTCAATACTCAATGTTTTTTTTCTCCCTTGATACGTTAAAGCTCGATTAATTTTTATTGGAAATTCCTTTCCCAAGTGTAGGTGGTTGAAATTTATTAGTTGGACTTGTGATATTCTTTTTTAGCTATGTTGGCAGTGGACCATATATTGAAAAATGTATAAATTTTATTCAATTTCTTCATACATGTATGTGTAAAGTCAATATGACATCCTAATTTACAACTGTTCATCTTTGTGTTGCACATTCGTGATTTAATTTAGACTGGCCATACATTTTTTTAAGGAGATTATGTCATATGAAATGAATTCCCTGAGACTGTGATCCTCCCATGGTCTGGTTAAGTACTTTTAGTGTTGTTACCTTGAAGGTCTATCTCTACCAGTGTTTTTAAAAGCGCAGCTTAGCGCGCTACGTCCCGCGAAATAGCGCAAATCTCCTGAAAAACGCGCTATAGCGCCTGTAATTTAGCGCAGTTCCAACATAGCGTACGCCTTTGATGACGTGGCACGCATTTTTTGGATAGCGTACGCGATTTTTGCTATGGCTTAAATTCTGCACGCTATTTGGGACCCTAAACAAATTGAAGGCAGAAAATTAAAAAAAAAAAAGAAAGAAGAACAAAATTGAAGGCGACGAAAATCACAATCAGAAACTCAGAAATCAGAATTCACGAAACCCTCATTTCACTTCTCTTCATCATCTCCCTCTCGGCCTCTCCACCGCAGCCTCCAAGGATCCACCACAGCCCAGCTCCCTTCATCATTTCACTTCTCACATCCTCTGTTTCCTCGACTCTCGTCTCTCGCTCTCGCCTTTCGCCCAGCTCTCGGCACCCCCAAAGTCCCTTCTCCTCGGCTCTTTGTACCCTACATCCCTTGCACGGTTGCACCTCGACTTTCAACTCCAAAGGTATCATTTTGTTTTACATTTGAGATTATTAATAGCTTCAGTGAATGATTTCGTTTTCTCGCTCTCGCCTTTCATTTTGTTTTTTTCTTTTTTTGAAGCTGCTTCACAGAACATGAATTGAAATTGGCCCTCTTCTAGTGAATTATTTCGATTTTTTTTTAAATTAGAGTGAGATAAAAGGATTGATGGAGATTGATGTTTGATTGCATTTTTTTTATGTGTATTTTTCGTTTTTTTTTTAAATTAGAGTGAGATATAAAGATTGATGGAGATTGATGTTTGATTGCATTTTTTTTATGTGTATTTGCCTATTTGCTGATTGGGTCTGGCTTTTTTTTTTTAATGATTCAGAGTATATAGAAGACTAGAAGTATAGAACAGATCTATTTAATTTGATGATTCTATTGTAGTTGAATTGTGTCCTGATTCTTGAATATCTGAGTATGGAACATATAAGACATAAATGAATTGTGTCCTGAATTATTTCCATTTGGTAATGGAACATCAGTGAGGTATTTAAAGAAGTATGCAGTTGTTTTTTATTAGAATGATTGATTAAATGTTTCTAAACTTAAATTATCAGTTTGTTTATTATTAAGGTTAAGAAAATGGATCCAAACATAACTGAATAGATGAAGAGATTACTGTTTTGTTGTGATTACTGTTCTTATTACAGTCAAATAATGAATTGGATGAGGCCAATTATTTTTAGATTTTGAGTCTTTACTTTGAAGATTATGACTTTGAGTTGTTGTATGAACTAATATTTGAATGTTATTTTTTAGATTTAATGTCTAACTTTACGGTTTAAGACTATTTTAATTATATATTTACTTGTATGGTTATATATATTATTATTTTTGGCATTTAAAGTGAACTGCTTGAATAGCTTACGCAATGCGCTACGCTATTTACGCTACGCAATATCAGGACCAAAACGCGACGCGATGCGCTATGCGCGTTTTAAAACACTGATCTCTACTAAACGTCGGACCACCAATTAATTACTAAGAAATTAGTTTTCTTTTTTGTTTTAATTTCAAGCAGTATTTACATTGTTGAACAAAAAGTTGTTAATTTGATTTCTTTCAACTGAGAGTTTTTGATGTAATTGGTATTAAAAGCTGCCATTTTTTTTTTTATTTAGCAATTATATGTTTTAGTAGCATTTACATTTTATTGGGTTTGGTTGTACTAGCATTTGTTAACTTCTCTAGAGTGGGAAAAAAGCTATTGTAACATGATTTGTACTAATGATGCCTAAGCTTTTTTAATGGATTCATGTTTAAATTTAATTTATGATGTTTCCCCCTTCGACTTTCAGTATAAGCATAATAGTCAGATGACACATATCTATATCAGTTTTCATTTCCTCGGAAAAATAAAGATATTTTGAATTGTATTATTTAATATTATTTTAAGTTCACTGTGCTCCAAGTTTGGAGTTGTTATAAGTTCTAATTGGTTAAATTTCTGGGTCATTAACTGTCTTTCTTAATTTAGCTAATATTTTTGCTATTTTAATATTACTCCTCAAATATAAGGCATCTTGACACAGGTTTGGATCATTCATGGTTTCTTTTTTTTCGTAATTACTTCACATTAACAGTTGTGCTTTCTTCAACTTGGGATTGGTGGTGAAGGTAACGATTTGTCACACTACTTTGCTCAAGTTTTATAGATGATTATATCAACATTTATGATCATCTGTTACTTTTTAAATGTTCACATGCATACTATATGTTTCATCTATCTCATCAACAGGTGTGTTTAGTACTAATGCGTAACTCTTATTTGAGTGCTTAATAATTCTCTTCTTTATTGAGCACATCTATGATTTGTATGTTTTTTATTTTCTACATTGCTCAAGGAATTCCATAATTTCCTATGTCATTTTCAGAAAGTGGCTCACTTTATGAGTTACATGCAATGCAACCATGTCTGTATTAAACCGATTGTACTATTATAATTCATACAAAATGACTTTTCTCATTTTGTTAGTATATATTTTTATTTTTATTTTTTTGGCTATCAGTTGACAATTGTTAGTAATTTCTTTAAGTTCATATATGAATTATTTTTATTATGTCTATTTAACCGAGCATCTCTCCAAGATAGAGTGCAGATCATTACGTCTTTCGTGCGAGTGAGAACTTACCTGGAACATGTGATTGGTTGTTAGTCTTGCATATCAATAATCATTTCTTTTAAGTATCTAGCTATTTTTCACTATTATTTTGTTTCAATTTTATTTTGGGGGACAATGTATATTTTTCACTATTATTTTCTTTTAAGTATCTAGCTAATTTTCTAACCTTCAGCTTAGAAAGAAGTTTGGGCAACATCAGGCGTGAAAGGTATACCAACATAATATACGTTTTATATATTCTGGAAACGAATAATTATATATATAGCAGAAGATTAATCGGCCGTAAGTACTTATTTGAATCTGTTGTACCCAAACATCTTATCGCAAAGCACATTGTTCAACGAGCAAATTCATCGCTTGAAGCAACAGCTTGAAGCAACAGGTAAAAGTCTCCTACTAATGTTGATGATAAAGAATTGTGAATCAGCACAAAATTATGATATATTATTTTCGTGTACGTTCAGATTTGGCGTCTTCGTGTGTTGATGCTTAACCTTATTTGTTTGTCTTTTTGCTATTAAGTAGGTTAATATGTTTACCTTTTAAAGCAAAAGTTGATATGTATTGCAAATAATTTCATGCTTTGTGAAGTTATAGACACCTGCATAGATTAGTTTCCCTTCATTTGTTTGTCTTTTGGGTATTTGGTAGGTTAGGATGTTTAACTTTATGTGTTACTTATGTGCAAAGTACTCAAATTTTTTGCCTTTGTAGTGTTCTACTTCTTGGGAATATCATGCAAAAATACTTATTTGTTAGTTGTTTTGATGGCTGCTTTTCCATTGTTTTGTTTTATATGTGCAACATTATAATATAAACCCTATTGTGTTGTTTTTACTTATATTAATTTAACTTAGTGATAAATTTTCTTGGTTTGCTGGATTTTAAAGGGGTAGAGGGATTTCCTGCGCATAATCTTTCAAATGAACGCATGCTAATTGGATAGAATGGACTATATATAGCCATCAGGTACGTAAATTCTCATTATTCAAAGTTTCTCCATATCTAGGTTGATATCAGGCAGTATTTCTTTCATTGCCTATGTGTTTATGTTTGAGAATATTAATGAATTAGAATATTTTCATAACTCAGTATATGAAATGGGTTGTTTAGCTACTCAGTAATTGATGTCAGGCCTCTTTAGAGTTTATTTTGGACCAGTGACGGATCAAGAAATTTCACTAAGGGGGGTCCGATTTTAAATATTAAATAACGAGCTTGTGGTTTTAGTTGAAACACTCATTTCGTATAAAAATGTATTTACTATAAATATAAATATCGATATGTGTATCATTAAGTTTTTAAAAACTTATAATCCGTATCACCCTCAAACTTTTTTTAAAAAAAAAAAAAGGACATTTCAAGTATTTATAATTTAACTTCAACATCTATAAGTTATGGAAATATAAGTTCTATAGTTGAAAACTTGTTTTCAATTGAACTTTTGTAGTACATTATATAACATTTTTGTTCATCAAAGCTTACCAAATGAGCATTTTTTAAGACAAAAAAAATAACGTTAAAAATATGTGATTACACAAAAAAAAGTATTAAAAAATGTAACAATCCAACTAAATACTCAATTTTATATCATTAAATCGATTTACAATTAAGAGACCGAAAGAGTAAATCGTTATAAATATTTTCACAAACTTATTTCTCTAAAATATAAAGATTGTTAGTACATTTTTCAACAAATTAGATAATTTTTTTTTTTAATTTAGATTAAAATAACATAGAAAATATGTTTTAATTATTAACATATTGTAAATATTTTATGCATTTCTAGACATATTTTATAGTAATTTTCTTTATTTATATATATATATATTGACTTAAAAAAAATGAGGGGGGTCCCTGGGCCTTATATGGCTCCATGCATGTTTTGGACATTCAAATATTGTTCTTTTCACTTACCCCTTTACCTCTTTGGCAAAGACAAAAACAGTTAAAATTGAATAAATTAATGTGCTATTGAGCAGTGTAATTATTTTTATTTTCGTCATTTTGTCTTTTATTCCCATCGCTTTTATATTTCATGTTTCTGTTTTTTATTTTTTGCAGTAATGGCTGATATCTCAATTATTTATCTGCTTGAATATAAAGAAAAATAAATGTTTCCTACATGAAAAAAAAATAAAAGGTGGATATTAAAGGCTCATGCACAGCATTCTTATAAATATTAAACCCTATTGTTTCCATAAACCATTTTGTATTCGGTTTCCTGTTCCATTTTGCAATCCTTTTTTGGTACTAAATTCATGACATAATCTAATCATTTATGTGCTTCGCTTATAATGAAGGATTAAATTTATTGATTGTTTTGTAGGTTATGGTCGCTTTTTAAGTTATTTGACTGGTGTTGAAGGGACTTTGGATTCTAGAAGACATAATTACAGAAAAATCCACTTTGTTTGATGTTATCTGTTCCTCGCAACTACTTTACTTATTGTACTTATTAAACTGGTTATCTTCTATTATGTGTGTTTGTCACTTTTTTTTCTCACTATTCTATCAAATTTGTTCTTATTTACTAATTTAATTCGAAATATTTAAAGAACTCCATGGTATGATATAAATTAAATATTTTTAATACATGTTACATAAATAGCAGCAATTACCTAAAATAGCTTTCTTACTCATGAAGGATTGTCGTTGTCGACTAAAGTTGGTACTTGTTTGATGGTCAATCCACTTATACCTGCCGCAGCTGAAACAGTGGTACGCAACAAGATGAATCTTTATATGGACATACATATTTGCGTGCATATCTACACACATATAAAAAAACCTCAAATGCAGGTACATTGAAGACAAAAACAATGTTGCCAAGCTCATCGCTAAAGTAACATATAAAAACACAGACAAGTTGTTCATGTATCTTGAAAGCACTAATATAATACTACCTCCTATTCTTTTTAAATGTCATTTTGGTTTTATCAACTATTAACCAAAATAAATGTCGTTTTGGATCTTTTGTACATATTTTTCCATTATTACCCTCATTTAGTTAATAAATACACTACGTCTTTTCATATTCTCTTCATCCCTTTTTTTAAAACATCCATCTCTATCTTCATTAATGAGGGTTATTATAGACAAAAAAATTATTCTTAATTAGTGTACAACTTCCCAAAACGACACTTATTATGAATAGGAGGGAGTATAAAATTAAAATTCTTGTTATTCGTAACACTTTTTTGATTATGTTGATTTAAGAATTTGATGTATTTATGGGTGTACACTCTAATCGATGTGTTATTAGGTAACATTCTATTTGTGGTTTCTATATTACCTTTTGATCATTTTCTAATTATAAGCAATATTCTAGGTTGAACCGTGGGCCGGCCGTGCTTTGCACGGCAAGAGCCGACTAGTATATATATATATATATATATATATATATATATATACATATATTTTAAAACCCTTAAACATGAAAACTCTAACGTTGCCAGTTCATAATTTTATCCATTGGAAGCAGAGAAGCGACAATGGCAGCCCCGCACCTAGCAAATCTGATAACAAAATCGTGTCTCTGGAGACCATTGGCAAGCTTTTGCAGAGCACCCAAAAGCTATCTCAATGCCCAAAGCAGGATTTTTGGAATCAACACAGTTTCCTCGCAAGGGTTTCCTAGCAGGATATCGCCGGCGTCGGCCGCCGGTTTTAAGATGTTTGGTGGTACCGGGTTCGGGCCTGTGCAATTTGGTATTCGCTCTTTTCGAGTTTCGAGCGGCCGCGGAGCTGGTGGTGGTTCTGGAGGCTCCGGCGCCGGAGGGTCTGGTGGTGGTGGTGGAAGTGGAGGTGGTGGAAGTGGTGGCGGTGGAGGAAATGGTTCGGGTCTGCTTTCATGGTAGATATTTTATATGTACTTCTTTGGTATGCTTAGGCCTTTTTTGTTTTTCCCCAATTGAGTTAATGCATGTTAAAGAACTCTTTGTTTTGTTTTGTTTTCTGTTCATTTGCAACTTTGGGATTGTTACTTTGGAACTTTTGAATGAGATAAAGTAGTTACAATATAGCTGAGATATAAAAAAATCAAAAAATCAGGTCTGCTTAGGTTTGCTGAGCTTTCAACATTTTTGTGCAAGTTCGTTATGCGAGTTGTGAGGCCTCGAAGGAAAACCAGTAGGAGGTTAGCAACGTGTTGAGATGCTGATTCTTCGCCAATGGATTGTCAATTAATAGCTTAAGAATATGATAATACATGTGAATATGCTGTGCTCGTTTGTCGTTCTCTTGTAACAAAGTGCCACTTGCTCGTTTAATTTGTTTCCTAAAATTTTGTGCAGGTATCTGTCTCTCCTTGCCAAGCATCCTGTGATGACAAAAGCAATTACATCCGCATTCTTAACTTTGGTTGGAGATATGATCTGCCAGGTAGACTGTCTATTGCATGTGATAAAGAGCATGTAATTAACCAGAATGAATGATGGGAAAGGAGAAATAGAAAAACTTTTTTCTTCCTTTCTTGATTACGTGCTTGAAAGCAAATAAGCAATAGGTATTGAAGTTGGATACTTTGTCGAGTTCTCAGTTCTTACTGTCTACATAAAGATTTCTAACTCAAGAAATTCTCAATACGTCTGAGGAGATGAATTTTTCGGCGAGCATAAATGCAAATTTCAAGAAAAAAAGACTGGCTATGTTTCGTTACAGGAGTCATTGAGTTACGAGTTTAATCATAGTGTTCAAGTCATTATAATGCATATACGTTTATATGAATTTCCTTTTCTGACTGCTACTGTTGGTAATTTATGGAAGGATTGTATGTTTTATGGAGGAGATGACACAATCGCTTTAGTAATTCATATGCCCAATCTTGATTATTCAGTTTAAACTGTTGACGAAGGACCGGAGCCAATATCTCTTTATCCTCAGTTAAAATTTACTAGTGAACTGCTTAATAAAGACAGACAACTTTTTGCGGTACACATATATGGTGTCTTTATTTGGAAATGGTCTACCTCATGCTTTTAAAAAGACACTTGAACTCTTAAATACTTTTCTTATTGTCATCTTTTAGTCATGGCCTGAAAACTGATGATGTCTGCTTCCACTTTGAATCGCAGCTTGTAAACCAGTTGTTATTACTATGACGTTTGAATATCTTTCACCAAGGTTGCTAATATATTAGCTTGTACTGTATCTGAAGTCTGAACTTGATTAAGTTTCAACTTTCTGCTTATTTAACCTTTTAATTGTTCTATCATGCTTGCAATTGACTCATTTGTTGTGATCCTCAGCTTGTGATTGATCAAGTACCATCTCTTGACGTGAAGCGGACATTTCTGTTCACACTGTTGGGCCTGGTTTTGGTTGGTCCAACATTGCATTTCTGGTGATGTTCTGAATGCCTAATATTTGCAATCACACCTTGAATGGTGCATAACTTCGTTACATATGTTATAATATGTACATATCAATCAATTCGCATTTTGGTTTCATTTAACCACAAGTAGCATTCAATAGAATGCTGGAGAAGCCTTAATAGCATAAACTAGAAACTAATATTAACTTTTTGTATTGCATGTTTAGGTATTTGTATTTGAGTAAACTGGTTACGACTCCCGGAGCCTCTGGTGCTCTCTTGCGCCTTATTCTTGATCAGGTGACATGCTGCAGCAGCCCAATTACATCTTTTTTTGAGTTTTGATAATCCTTTTTATTCTATACTGTTTTTATTAAATACACAATAGTTAACCTCTTTACTGGAACTGATTCGATGTTTTATGATGCAGTTTGTTTTCGCGCCCATTTTCATTGGAACTTTTCTTTCTATTCTGATTACTCTTGAGGGGAGGCCATCGGATGTAATACCAAAACTGAAACAGGTAAAATTAGGCATGTCGACATGATAATTACTAGATTTAATTATATTTTTGGATATTTTTCTGTTATATGTAAACACCCACACACACACACATATTAATCTTAACTTTTGTATTATAAATCGTAGGAGTGGTTCTCGTCGGTTCTTGCAAATTGGCAGCTGTGGATACCTTTCCAGTTCCTCAATTTTCGATTTGTGCCCCAACAATTTCAGGTTTGGTTTACTTGTGTGCGCCTATAAACAAATCGAAATGGGTTATGCTGTTTTCTTGAGGAGCAAAATATCGTCACAAGTACCCGGTTTTGACCAGTTACTATAGTGTGAATGTATGAAATATGATGATGACCTGCACATTTCTCTTTAACAAAGATAAGAAAGCTGTTGTTTGACCTAAAAAGACGTTTTTGTTGCGAAAATCTTTTTTACAGGTCCTTGCTGCTAATTTTATTTCCTTAATATGGAACGTGATTCTTTCCTATAAAGCACACAAAGAAGTTACTGCCAAATAGGTAAGTCTCACTTCTGTTTTCAACAGCAACAAGAAAAAAGCTGGTAAATTTTTGTACACCCATGTCTGGCAGCTTATCAGTGGTATTATTGGTTGAAAATGTTGCAGAATGTGGGTCTGAGCTGGGGTTTCAATGGTAGTTTAAGTTTGAGAGAGGCAATATGTATCAGCTTTCTTTTATGTCTCCTAGAGCAGAGTTTTATTTTACCGGTTTACTGCAGAAAACCTTCTTTTGATTGTGAAATGTAGATTAAAAATTGTGTTCTTTTGGTCTTATTATTTATTGATCTGAGTTGGCTTAGTTTTCTTTACAACTCTTCTTCTGTCCAAGTGAGCACTAGTTCAGTTTTTAACTAGAAATAGTCCTCCAATTCATGACTACTTATGTCTTGGTTTAAATTTTTAAATGAAACAATATAATGCATACAAAGTGCAGGTATTTTCTTGAAGTATAGGCATTACCCTTTAAAGGATGATGTGTTTGTCTGCCAATACAAGGCGATTTAACTAATTTGAAAGTAGTTTAGCTCGCAATTCAAGGAATGAGGTTGATATATATCTGCCATGTTGTCCTACTTCCAATCTTTTATAATGCTTAAAACCCTTTTGTGATTTGCTTTTGTAGGTTAACAAACACCAACTAAACCACTAAAGCCATTTGAAGTAGTTAATCAAACACACTTGGCACAAACAACACTATTTTTCTTTTAAATAATATTAATTACTATTACTATGTTGCAACTAGTGCCGACTCGGTCGTTAATGCTTGAGATTGACTCAGCTCGTTAAAAGGTCGACTCCGAGATCGTTGAAAGATCGTTCAGTTAATGAGTTGGGTATGGCTAGGCTCAATAAAGTTCGCTGAGACTCGAAAAAAAAATATTTAATTCGACTCGTCAATTTTAATAAACGAGCCAAGTTCGAATTCGAGCTCGATTACTAGCTTATTTAATCAACAAGAACATTCGAGTACCATGAGCTCGAATTCGGCTTGACTTCGGCTCTTTCACTCCTACTGCAACTTGTGCAACTTCAAAATTAATATTTTGACTGCCTTTTTGTCTAATGATGGGACCCTTAAACCTAAAATTCTCGAGAAACTGAGTCAAAAGGCCAATGAAATAGCCCGGCAGCGAGCCAACCACTTCCAGCTTCGACAAAGACAGGAAAGTACCTACCCCAAAAAGAGTTTTTTCTGTTTTTGCTTCCCGATTTCTTTAGTTTCTTCTTGATTGAAGTTTAGGGAATTGGATGGACTGGTGGCTTTGGATATTATCCGTCCTACTTATGATCTTCCAATTGAAGACACTAGTCTTTTATGGAGTGAATGGAATCGAAGAGAAGTAAGCTCTCGAAGGTAAGCGAAGTGGCTCGACTAAAAGGAAATTGACCGTTTCCGAGATCCTCTACTAAGGTATTCGATTTGCTATAACAAGGGGAAGGAGAGCGGTGAGGCTTTTAATTTTAATATTATGTCTTTCGCCCCATCATCCTACATGTTTTTCGGTATGAGCTTCTTTCTACGATTCTGAAGAGTTAAGCCCTACCGTAACCTGTTCAGAGTCTCCGTGACAAGTAAACCCAACTTTAGAAGCGAAGTTCAGTTACGCGCTTGCCATATTTGAAACGTGAATTTTCCGGGAAATGTCAGCCCAAACTGCCAATGGAAAACTTGTAATTACGTTTACTTAATTATTTTATAGTCATCCCTTTTTGACCAAGAAGAACAAACAAAAAGATATTTCTCCTGAAAATAGAAAAAAAGGAATAAAAATAAAAATTAAACCTGGATTCTTCAACAGTTTTAAGTGTTTTAACTCATAAGCAATTAACTGTGTAATGAATATTCCATCGTGGGGTCACCGACCATTTTCCAGACAGGCCATATGTGCAATTTAATGGACACCACAGTCTGCACATTTAATAATCTATATTCATTATTATTATTACTACAAAATAATTATATTTCATGATTTTATTTTTCCTCCAACTTTCCTCTGTGTCTTCTTGTTCTTTTTTCTACACCACTCAATCAACTTTCCTCAGTTTCTTCTTGTTCATAATTTTTGCTCAAGCTCAAGCACAGTGCGTATAAGAAGAAGAAAAGGAGAAAATGAAAAAGGATGATCATGAGCTTGAAAATGATTTTATGACAAGACCGCTAGAAACAGTAACCTCAGACAGATCATCACCATCTCCTCCATTGTCTGAAGAACCTCTCAGCTCCTCCCAAAGGCCATCTTCTTCAGATCACTCTTATGCCTTCACTGGTTATCTTTACTTGCTAACTAAATTGAGAAACATAACTATGTTTTTCCTCATAAAAATGAATATTAAGAGTTTCATTTCCTTTCTTTGTTTAACTTGTGAAAAATTTGCAGACAGTGGCAGGCCAGCAGCTGGCAAGAACCACAAGATCAAGAAACTCGAGAGAAAAGGAACCGACTTTGTTTACAGAATTCGTGAACACGGTGCATACCTATATCTTTCTTGTTTCTGTTACCCCACATTTTTTTTTCTTTTGGGAATTTTATTCATTTATGGTGAATTGAAATATTGTGCAGTGAGAATGGGGCCAAGACTTTCTGAGACAGTGAAGGGGAAACTGAGTGTTGGTTCATGGGGTTTGTGAGGTATGAGAAAGCCTTTCTGAATTTGCAGAGAGCCATTTCTATGACAGGGTAGATCTCGAGATATATTTGGGTGGAAATGAAAAAATGTAGAAATAAATTTGTGTTAAAAAAAAAGATGTATTTTTATCATGAGTGACAGTTTGAGCATTGTAGATTATTGATGTATTTGTGTGTGTTATAGGTTCGGTAGTTATGGTGCCATATTCGCAAGCTGGTGTAATAATGCTACTGCTACATTTTATGTACAAGAAAATTGTTATTTGAACACTTGTTACTTCATTGAAATATTAAATGGAATTTCAGGAACGATTTCAGGAATTTTATATCGATACCATGGCATTCAATATATATTACGTTAGATTCATTTGAAAATTCCATCTGCGCTGCACATATCTAGCAATTCAAGTGCATTGTATTCATCCTTCAAAGACTCAAATTTCAGAATAATAACCCCCAAGAGTAATATATATTAAACAGAAACAGGAAATAACATCAGTCAGAGAAATTAACCTTCAACTTAAAGAAATTTTATATATATATATATGGATCATTTAGTGTGGGTAGATGAGACCCTGATTATAAGTTATAATAAAACCAAGGGAAAAGTATGTAATATCAGAGGCGGACCTATGTTGTAATTAGGGAGGCAATGTCCCCCAAACTTTTAAATTTTTAATATATATATATAATAAAAAGCATTGTATTCTTGTGTTAACTAAGTATTGTAAAAGCATATAATTAATAATTTTATTATTTACAAATATTATTTACTTATATATTTATTTTTAATATCATAATAATGTTCAATCTTTTGTATTATTGATTAAGTGGAGACATAAGTCGGGTTGGTTATTTTATTAAAATAAAAAAAAAACTCTGTGGCAAAAAATAAAACAAAAAAAAATGTTGTGGAAATGTATCAAACGACCGGATTTTCAAAATCCGTTATTTATTAATTTATTTATTTTTTTATTATTTATTTATTCCATTTTTCAGTTTTTTTTAATGCATTTTTAAGTTTATTCTAAAATAAAATAAATAAAAAATAAATAAAAAAAAAACGGATTATAAAAAATAAAAAGAAATTATAAACGGATAAAACGGATTTTAATTGAAGTCAAATTAGTACAATCCCGGTCAATTATAGTGTAATCGGCCTTGAATTAGTCCAATTGAAGTCAAACTAGTACAATCTCGGTCAATTATAATGTGATCGAACTCGAATTAGTCCAATTGAAATCAAATTAGTCCAATTGAAGTCGAATTAATACAATATCGGTCAATTATAATGTAATCGAACTCGAATTAGTCCAATTGAAGTCAAATTAGTACAATCTCGGTCAATTATAGTGTAATCGACCTCGAATTAGTTCAATTGAATTCGAATTAGTTCAATTGAATTCGGCCGCCCGTTTTAAGATGTTTGGTGGTACCGGGTTCGGGCCTGTGCAATTTGGTATTCGTTCTTTTTGAGTTTTGAGCGGCCGCGGAGCTGGTGGTGGTTCTGGAGGCTCCGGCGCCGGAGGGTCTGGTGGTGGTGGTGGAAGTGGTGGCGGTGGAGGAAATGGTTCGGGTCTGCTTTCATGGTAGATATTTTATATGTACTTCTTTGGTATGCTTAGGCCTTTTTTGTTTTCCCCAATTGAGTTAATGCATGTTAAAGAACTCTTTGTTTTGTTTTGTTTTCTGTGCATTTGCAACTTTGGGATTGTTACTTTGGAACTTTTGAATGAGATAAAGTAGTTACAATATAGCTGAGATATAAAAATCAGGCCTGCTTAGGTTTGCTGAGCTTTCAACATTTTTGTGCAAGTTCGTTATGCGAGTTGTGAGGCCTCGAAGGAAAACCAGTAGGAGGTTAGCAACGTGTTGAGATGCTGATTCTTCGCCAATGGATTGTCAATTAATAGCTTAAGAATATGATAATACATGTGAATATGCTGTGCTCGTTTGTTCTCTTATAACAAAGTGCCACTTGCTCGTTTAATTTGTTTCCTAAAATTTTGTGCAGGTATCTGTCTCTCCTTGCCAAGCATCCTGTGATGACAAAAGCAATTACATCCGCATTCTTAACTTTGGTTAGAGATATGATCTGCCAGGTAGACTTTCTATTGCATGTGATAAAGAGCATGTAATTAACCAGAATGAATGATGGGAAAGGAGAAATAGAAAAACTTTTTTCTTCCTTTCTTGATTACGTGCTTGAAAGCAAATAAGCAATAGGTATTGAAGTTGGATACTTTGTCGAGTTCTCAGTTCTCACTGTCTACAGAAAGATTTCTAACTCAAGAAATTCTCAATACGTCTGAGGAGATGAATTTTTCGGCGACCATAAATGCAAATTTCAAGAAAAAAAGGCTGGCTATGTTTCGTTACAGGAGTCATTGAGTTACGAGTTTAATCATAGTGTTCAAGTCATTATAATGCATATACATTTATATGAATTTCCTTTTCTGACTGCTACTGTTGGTAATTTATGGAAGGATTGTATGTTTTATGGAGGAGATGACACAATCGCTTTAGTAATTCATATGCCCAATCTTGATTATTCAGTTTAAACTGTTGACGAAGGACCGGAGCCAATATCTCTTTATCCTCAGTTAAAATTTACTAGTGAACTGCTTAATAAAGACATACAACTTTTTGCGGTACACATATATGGTGTCTTTATTTGGAAATGGTCTACCTCATGCTTTTAAAAACACACTTGAACTCTTAAATACTTTTCTTATTGTCATCTTTTAGTCATGGCCTGAAAACTGATGATGTCTGCTTCCACTTTGAATTGCAGCTTGTAAACCAATTGTTATTACTATGACGTTTGAATATCTTTCACCAAGGTTGCTAATATATTAGCTTGTACTGTATTATCTGAAGTCTGAACTTGATTAAGTTTCAACTTTCTGCTTATTTAACCTTTTAATTGTTCTATCATGCTTGCAATTGACTCATTTGTTGTGATCCTCAGCTTGTGATTGATCAAGTACCATCTCTCTCTTGACGTGAAGCGGACATTTCTGTTCACACTGTTGGGCCTGGTTTTGGTTGATCCAACATTGCATTTCTGGTGATGTTCTGAATGCCTAATATTTGCAATCACACCTTGAATGGTGCATAACTTCGTTACATATGTTATAATATGTACATATCAATCAATTCGCATTTTGGTTTCATTTAACCACAAGTAGCATTCAATAGAATGCTGGAGAAGCCTTAATAGCATAAACTAGAAACTAATATTAACTTTTTGTATTGCATGTTTAGGTATTTGTATTTGAGTAAACTGGTTACGACTCCCGGTTAGTCTTCATCCCCATCTGAATCAAATCATCAATTAAAATTAAAAAAAAGAGAGAGAGAGAGAGAGAGAGAGAGAGAGAGAGAGAGAGAGAGAGAGAGAGAGAGATTCAAAGCTTCGTTGTGGCTGACCACGAGACAGCGACACATTCCTTCATTTTCCCGAACACATCACACACAGCTTCCGAACATTCACATTTGCATGATCATTGTCACACCCCGCCTTACTAGCTTTGAAAATCAGAGTAAAATTTTTGTTTTTATTTTCGAAAGGTCGTGCGAGCTAGGTTTTCGAAAATACTGACTTATTGCGGGATGTGGCAGATAAAAACTTAAACTGAACTGGAGCTTGCTCACAGACATAATAAAACATGCAACCAAACTATCCGCTCGCGGATTATGGAATTATACCTGCATAGTCTGTACTATCTCGCACTGTCTAGAAAAACTCGCTGGCGGAAGCATCCGAAATACGAATACATAAACATGCATACATAAACTGAATAAATATACATGATCATAAATTTCTAGAACATAAAAATGTTGGGAAAATATGTCCGTCTATCATGACCACGCTGCGCCACATCTGTGCTCATCCGGCACGCTCGACTCCGCCTCCTGAAAAATATAATGGGGGCGTGAGCAAACCACTATGCTCCGCAAAGACCAGTACTGAACAAAACATCATCTATAATAACGTATCATGAAACATAAATATATAAGAGCTGAAACTGTAAACTGATCTCTGATTTCTGTTCTGATCTGTGGTCAAAAGACCCTTGGCCTTGGCCGCTCGTGTGCACACTCCGATGGGGTATAAAGGCCTTGGCCCCCTAAACGGTCATCAGGTGGGTATAAAGGCCTTGGCCACCCAACCCGGAACTAAACTGTCTCATACATACCTCTGCCATGGTACAGATATTATCTATGATGTGACATCCAGTACATGACCCCCACCTGAAAAACTTGGAATCTGATATGCAAGTGCGGATGCTGGAGTAGCGGTCGGAGGCTCGACTCTCCTTAGGCTACATAAATATTCAAGCAAAATAATGCTAAGTATAATGCTCAGAATATTTAATTATATGCAAAAATGCTCGGACTTGTCTACGCGATTAAACTGGAATGGACTGGCTCGGAAAAATACTGAAATTTCCAGAACTGGACTCGGATCAGAAATCGCGAATCAAAACTGACTCGAACCGCCGGTCGAACCGGCCGGTTCGCTGGCTGGCCGGACCGCCGGCTCAACTGGGCCGGGCGGTCGGGCTGGGTTCGGCTAGACCGGGCTCGGTCCCGTGCCGGGCCAGCTGGTGCCCGGGCACGGCGCTGGGCACGGCTGGTGCGACCGGGCTCGGTCCCTGGGGCCGCTGGACATGTCTTGGCGCGGACTGGCGCTGGTGGGCACGGCCAGGGGCTGCTGGCACGGCCCGGGCACGACTGGTGCCCCTCGGGTGCGTGCTGGGCACGGCCGAGGCTCGACTGAGGCGCTGTCGTGCGGCTGGGCACGGACAGGCACTGGCCAGACACTGCTGGCACGGGGAAGGCACGGACAGAGACCACACGGGCGCTGCCGGGTGTCCCCGAGGTCACTGGGCACTCGGGCATGCTGCTGGGGCATGCACCGAGGCCAACTGGGCTCAGCTGGCCCGGCTCGGGTCAGCCCTGGACTTGGCACGAGGCTCTGGCACGAGACCTCGTGCACTGGGGCTTGCACGGGCGCTGCCGGGCGCCGTGCGCATGGCTGGGCACGCTGGGTGCCATGGCCACGCCTGCTGAGGCTGAACATGCGCGGGCACGAGCTACTGGCCCGGGACCACGCGCATGTAGACTAAGGACAGCGCTGCCGGGCGCTGTCGGAGGTGTTGGGCGCGACTGGCGCCGTGACCTCGGGTGCAACGCGGACAGGCGCTGCTGGCACGCTGTCGCAGGCACTGGGACTGGTGGTACCACACGCACGCTGGCGCGGGCACGGACTTGCACTGGGGTCGGGCACTGCCGCGCTATGTGCGCGGCCAGTGATCAAGGCCGGCCCTTGCCGGACCTCCGGCGACTATTTCCGGCAACATGCATGACCATACAACATAATATGATAAAATAAGCACAATTAACACATAAAACACTAGTGGACCCTGGGTCCACATTCATTTTACCCGGTAAGGCCTATACGGCTCGTACGAGCACTTGACGTCCGAACCAACATACATGACTTACAAAACTACTCAAGGCCGAATGTTATACATTTAAATTCATGACTATAGAGGCTAGAACTCATATCATATCTTGCATGCATGATGATTTACCTCGGTGGCTCATTTTAACATAATTTCAAGCATGATTTGACTAAGGCAATGAACTCACTCAAACTTTTACAGCATCAATGGTACAATATTTAAGGGTGTTTAAACCACCATTTTTGACTTAGGCATGTTGGGAACTAAAATTTCATTTTTAAGGCCTTAATTTCATCAAATTCGGAAATCACATATACATGCATGCATGGCTCGGTTTTAACTCATGAAAAATCTTAAAATGTCATAAAATAATTTATGAACTCATAAGGCACGAGCTAACCTTGGCTAGAAATGGAGATAATGAACTAGGGCTTAAAATAGGCTTGAACACGGCTTTGGAGGTTAAGCTCACTTTGTGGTGTGATTTGTTCGAGCCTATCTCTTCTAAAGGACTTAGAAAAATATAAGGTACACTTATATAGTGCTAAGCCTCGAGAGATTATGGCTGTAGGGGGTTGGACCTCGCTGCTCCTCTTCCCCGGGGTGCTGGCCGCGCGGACAAGGGCTGAGGCTTTGGCTCGGTTTTTCTAACACTTCCCTCAATATATGCTCGAGCTTCTAAGTGTCAAAGGGCTTAAGAGGGACTGAGGAACAGCCCTTATATACTGGTTTGGGGCGGAGCTTGCTATGCTACTCATGGGAGACCAAATAAGTGGAAAATGCCACACCATTTGCATGGGAACTTGAGAGGATGATGGGGCATAGTCTTGCACGTTTTTGGATGGTCAAAAGGTGGTTTTCAAAGTATTTTATTAGGTCACAAGGGGTCTGGTAAGTCTTGTCCAAGACTAGGGAACAAGGACAAAAATCTTGAATAAACAATTCATGCCCATGCTCTCCACTAAGGCTAACGGTATCTTGACTTTCTCTTAACAATACTTAGGGTCAAATTAGCTTAATCTAACCCTTATTAGGTCCTTAATAACCGTATGAGTTGGGCCATGGGAGATTTGGGCCGGAAATGTATGAAATGGGCTTTCGAAGTTGGGCTGGCAGGGCTGTCGCTGGGCCTGCTGGGCGCGGCACTGGGCCCTGGGCGTGAGGGCGCGGCTGGGCTGCGCGGGGAGATGGGCTGCTCGGGGAAAGTGACCTTGCGCTGAGTACAATGGGTTAGAAATGGCTCCCCAACACTTAGAAAAATATGGGATATGATGCTAAGGACTTGGTAAGGTCTTGGGGGCTCGGTTGGATGCTCCGGCGCGGCTAAGGCGCGAGCTCGGGGCTCGGGCACGAGGCTCGACTAGGGCTCGATTAAAATGATCGAGACTTGACTTTGGTATTTTAATATACTTAGAAAAGTATTCTAAGTATAAAAATACCAATACCTGGCTAAGCTCGGGATTTACTCGAAAATTAACTCGGAACCAAACTAGGGTTTGGAGTCGATAAATTCTCGAATTGACTTGCTATTATTTACCAACCCAAATTAATGGATTAATCTTAACTTGTACATTGAGATAGAATTATTCAAAGAATAATTTATCATGTTTGAGCATTTAGCATAAATAATATAACTCGATAATTTCTGAAAATTACGGATTTCACTTATAGTCGAGCAGTGAAACCGTTCTGAATATTATTACTGTTTTGCGGCGTTACAATCATCGCGTTCCAAGTAACATCTCGATTTGGCATTTTACCAAACACTAGAAGTGCACCATTTATCTTACCACAGGATGCATATAAATGGACTATTACATTTAGCAGAATAATGTCGACCAAAGCCCGAGTTTTTTTTTTTTTTTTCATCCCGAGTTTTTTTTTTCATCAAAAAGCGAGTATCAGTCACCCCATGGGAAATATACTGCAATATCAGACATGCCTTGAGCTCAAATGGGGTCTTAATTTATAAAATGCCTTGAGCTCACAACATGAATTGGAAATGAGGAAGAAATAAAAATCAGTACTTTCTTGCAAAATGAACTGAAAAGGAAGCATCTTTAGGCAGATAAGAACTTGAACTGGGGATAGGCATGATTTAGTGCGAGAAACTGCAAGAAAATGACAAAAATTGTAAAATTTATATAATATATGATTTTTTCTTTTTCCGGTTAGCACAATTTAGGTTCAGCCGGTTTAAGTGCTACACCTCTCTGCTCTATCTCAACTAGTAATCAACATGTGGATTTGCACAAATATAAATTCTTAGAAAAGAAAATAAGAAACTAAAAGAAACAAAAATACTAAATCATAATTTAATTCAAGAAAAAATATTAATTAAGAAAAGAATTCTAAATATTATTAAAAAGTATTTTATATACAACATTTATATTTTATATACAATATTTTAATATAACGCCATAGAAAATTTGACATCTCTTGATCATTAGGTAATGCTTTTTAGTTAAATGACATTAGTAACATAATATTGCACCATAACATTTGGATTTAGAATAAGAAAAAATAAATAAAATTAGAATATGACAACATGATAATGAGATATATTGGTGTTTGAAAAATAATTCATTATTAATGATTTACACTATTAGATATATTGTTTTTTCTTGTAGGTGAATATATATATATATATATATATATTGAAATAGATGATTGGATATTTTTAGTTTTATTTCTTAATTATTTGATTTTGTAATTTTGGAATCTGAATTATTGTGTGAATCATTTTTACGTTAAAGCACTCTTTGTTTTGTTTTGTTTTCAACATTTTTGTGCAAGTTCGTTATGCGAGTTGTGAGGCCTCGAAGGAAAACTAGTAGGAGGTTAGCAACGTGTTGAGATGCTGATTCTTCGCCAATGGATTGTCAATTAATAGCTTAAGAATATGATAATACATGTGAATATGCTGTGCTCGTTTGTCGTTCTCTTATAACAAAGTGCCACTTGCTCGTTTAATTTGTTTCCTAAAATTTTGTGCAGGTATTTGTCTCTCCTTGCCAAGCATCCTGTGATGACAAAAGCAATTACATCCGCATTCTAAACTTTGGTTGGAGATATGATCTGCCAGGTAGACTGTCTATTGCATGTGATAAAGAGCATGTAATTAACCAGAATGAATGATGGGAAAGGAGACATATAAAAACTTTTTTCTTCCTTTCTTGATTACGTGCTTGAAAGCAAATAAGCAATAGGTATTGAAGTTGGATACTTTGTTGAGTTCTCAATTCTTACTGGATTTCTAACTCAAGAAATTCTCAATACGTCTGAGGAGAAGAATTTTTCGGCGAGCATAAATGCAAATTTCAAGAAAAAAAGACTGGCTATGTTTCGTTACAGGAGTCATTGAGTTACGAGTTTAATCATAGTGTTCAATTCATTATAATGCATATACGTTTATATGAATTTCCTTTTCTGACCGCTACTGTTGGTAATTTATGGAAGGATTGTATGTTTTATGGAGGAGATGACACAATCGCTTTAGTAATTCATATGCCCAATCTTGATTATTCAGTTTAAACTGTTGACGAAGGACCGGAGCCAATATCTCTTTATCCTCAGTTAAAATTTACTAGTGAACTGCTTAATAAAGACAGACAACTTTTTGTGGTACACATATATGGTGTCTTTATTTGGAAATGGTCTACCTCATGCTTTTAAAAAGACACTTGAACTCTTAAATACTTTTCTTATTGTCATCTTTTAGTCATGGCCTGAAAACTGATGATGTTTGCTTCCACTTTGAATCGCAGCTTGTAAACCAGTTGTTATTACTATGACGTTTGAATATCTTTTACCAAGGTTGCTAATATATTAGCTTGTACTGTATCTGAAGTCTGAACTTGATTAAGTTTCAACTTTCTGCTTATTTAACCTTTTAATTGTTCTATCATGCTTGCAATTGACTCATTTGTTGTGATTCTCAGCTTGTGATTGATGAAGTACCATCTCTTGACGTGAAGCGGACATTTCTGTTCACACAGTTGGGCCTGGTTTTGGTTGGTCCGACATTGCATTTCTGGTGATGTTCTGAATGCCTAATATTTGCAATCACACCTTGAATGGTGCATAACTTCGTTACATATGTTATAATATGTACATATCAATCAATTCGCATTTTGGTTTCATTTAACCACAAGTAGCATTCAATAGAATGCTGGAGAAGCCTTAATAGCATAAACTAGAAACTAATATTAACTTTTTGTATTGCATGTTTAGGTATTTGTATTTGAGTAAACTTGTTACGACTCCCGGAGCCTCTGGTGCTCTCTTGCGCCTTATTCTTGATCAGGTGACATGCTGCAGCAGCCCAATTACATCTTTTTTTTGAGTTTTGATAATCCTTTTTATTCTATACTGTTTTTTATTAAATACACAATAGTTAACCTGTTTATTGGAACTGATTCGATGTTTTATGATGCAGTTTGTTTTCGCGCCCATTTTCATTGGAACTTTTCTTTCTATTCTGATTACTCTTGAGGGGAGGCCATCGGATGTAATACCAAAACTGAAACAGGTAAAATTAGGCATGTCGACATGATAATTACTAGATTTAATTATATTTTGGGATATTTTTCTGTTATATGTAAACACACACACACACACACACATATTTTTCTTAACTTTTGTACTATAAATCATATGAGTGGTTCTCGTCGGTTTTTGCAAATTGGCAGCTGTGGATACCTTTCCAGTTCCTCAATTTTCTATTTGTGCCCCAACAATTTAGGTTTGGTTTACTTGTGTGCGCCTATAAATAAATCGAAATGGGTTATGCTATTTTCTTGAGGAGAAAAATATCGTCACAAGTACCCGGTTTTGACCAGTTACTATAGTGTGAATGTATGAAATATGATGATGACCTGCACATTTCTCTTTAACAGAGATAAGAAAGCTGTTGTTTGACCTAAAAAGATATGTTTTTGTTGCGAAAATCTTTTTTACAGGTCCTTGCTGCTAATTTTATTTCCTTAATATGGAACGTGATTCTTTCCTATAAAGCACACAAAGAAGTTACTGCCAAATAGGTAAGTCTCACTACTGTTTTCAACAACAAGAAGAAAAAAGCTGGTAAATTTTTGTACACCCATGTCTGGCAGCTTATCAGCGGTGTTATTGGTTGAAATTGTTGCAGAATGTGGGCTGAGCTGGGGTTTCAATGGTAGTTTAAGTTTGAGAGAGGCAATATATATCAGCTTTCTTTAAAGTCTCCTAGAGCAGAGTTTTATTTTACCGGTTTACTGCAGAAAACCGTCTTTTGATTGTGAAATGTAGATTAAAAATTGTGTTCTTTTGGTCTTATTATTTATTGATCTCAGTTGGCTTAGTTTTCTTTACAACTCTTCTTATGTCCAAGTGAGCACTAGTTCAGTTTTTAACTAGAAATAGTCCTCCAATTCATGACTACTTATGTCTTGGTTTAAATTTTTAAATGAAGCAATATCATGCATACAAAGTGTAGGTATTTTCTTGAAGTTTAGCATTACCCTTTTAAGGATGATGTGTTTGTCTGCCAATACATGGCGATTTAACTAATTTGAAAGTAGTTTAGCTCACAATTTAAGGAATGAGGTTGATATATATCTGCCATGTTGTCCTACTTCCAATCTTTTATAATGCTTAAAACCCTTTTGTGATTTGATTTTGTAGGTTAACTAACACCAACTAAACCACTAAATCCATTTGAAGTAGTTAATCAAACACACTTGGCACAAACAACACTACTTCTCTTTTAAATTATATTAATTACTATTACTATGTTGCAACTAGTGCCGACTCGGTCGTTAATGCTTGAGATTGACTCAGCTCGTTAAAAGGTCGACTCCGAGATCGTTGAAAGATCGTTCAGTTAATGAGTTGGGTATGGCTAGGCTCAATAAAGTTCGCTGAGACTCGAAAAAAAAATATTTAATTCGACTCGTCAATTTTAATAAACGAGCCAAGTTCGAATTCGAGCTCGATTACTAGCTTATTTAATCAACAAGAACATTCGACTACCATGAGCTCAAATTCGGCTTGACTTCGGCTCTTTCACTCCTACTGCAACTTGTGCAACTTCAAAATTAATATTTTGACTGCCTTATTATCTAATGATGGGACCCTTAAACCTAAATTTCTCGAGATACTGAGTTAAAAAGGCCAATGAAATAGCCCGGTAGCGAGCCAACCACTTCCAACTTCGACAAATACAGGAAAGTTCCTACCCCAAAGAGAGTTTTTTCTGTTTTTGCTTCCCGGTTTATTTAGTTTCTTCTTGATTGAAGTTTAGGGAATTGGATGGACTGGTGGCTTTGGATATTATCCGTCCTACTTATGATCTTCCAATTGAAGACACTAGTCTTTTATAGAGTGAATGGAATCGAAGAGAAGTAAGCTATCGAAGGTAAGCGAAGTGGCTCGACTAAAAGGAAATTGACCGTTTCCGAGATCCTCTACTAAGGTATTCGATTTGCTATAGCAAGGGGAAGGAGAGCGGTGAGGCTTTTAATTTCAATATTATGTCTTTCGCCCCATCATCCTACATGTTTTTCGGTATGAGCTTCTTTCTACGATTCTGAAGAGTTAAGCCCTACCGTAACCTGTTCTGAGTCTCCGAGACAAGTAAACCCAACTTTAGAAGCGAAGTTCAGTTACGCGCTTGCCATATTTGAAACGTGAATTTTCCGGGAAATGTCAGCCCAAACTGCCAATGGAAAACTTGTAATTACGTTTACTTAATTATTTTATAGTCATCCCTTTTTTACCAAGAAGAACAAACAAAAAGATATTTCTCCTGAAAATAGAAAAAAAGGAATAAAAATAAAAATTAAACCTGGATTCTTCAACATTTTTAAGTGTTTTAACTCATAAGCAATTAACTGTGTAATGAATATTCCATCGTGGGGTCACTGACCATTTTCCAGACAGGCCATATGTGCAATTTAATGGACACCACAATCTACACATTTAATAATCTATATTCATTATTATTATTATTACAAAATAATTCTATTTCATGATTTTATTTTTCCTCCAACTTTCCTCTGTGTCTTCTTGTTCTTTTTTTTACACCACTCAATCAACTTTCCTCAGTTTCTTCTTGTTCATAATTTTTGCTCAAGCTCAAGCACAGTGAGTATAAGAAGAAAAAAGGAGAAAATGAAAAAGGATGATCATGAGCTTGAAAATGATTTTTTGACAAGACCATTAGAAACAGCAACATCAGACAGATCATCACCATCTCCTCCATTGTCTGAAGAACCTCTCAGCTCCTCCCAAAGCCCATCTTCTTCAGATCACTCTTATGCCTTCACTGGTTATCTTTACTTGCTAACTAAATTGAGAAACATAACTATGTTTTTCCTCATAAAAATGAATATTAAGAGTTTCATTTCCTTTCTTTGTTTAACTTGTGAAAAATTTGCAGACAGTGGCAGGCCAGCAACTGGCAAGAACCACAAGATCAAGAAACTCGAGAGTAAAGGAACTGACTTTGTTTACAGAATTCGCGAACACTGTGCATACCTATATCTTTCTTGTTTCTGTTACCCCACAATTTTCATTTTTTTTTTTTTTTTATTTTGGGAATTTCATTCATTTATGGTGAATTGAAAATATTGTGCAATGAGAATGGGGCCAAGACTTTCTGAGACAGTGAAGGGGAAACTGAGTGTTGGTGCCAAAATAATAAAAAATGGAGGCATAGAGAATATATTCGGAGACATATTTGGGTTTTGCCATGGAGAAAAATTGCTAAAGGCTTCTCAGTGCTATTTATCCACAACAAGTGGGCCCATTGCCGGGATTTTGTTCATATCCACTCAAAAAGTTTGCTTTTGCAGTGAAAGATCCATTAATGTTCAATCTCCTTCTGGGGGCCTCCTTAAAATACCTTCCAAGGTTGATCAGCCTTTTGATACACTTGGTTATTTAGTTGGTTCGTTTGTTGTAATCGCTACATTGATGATAAGCCGTATGCAACTAGTTTGATTTTATGTCTTGTCAGTTGTTTTTCTTTTTTTCTTTTTTTTTTTGGTTTCAATTGTCTTGCAGCTTTCAATTCCGGTGAGGAAGATAAAAGGAGCTTACGAAAGGGAGAATGCAGACAACCCGGCACAGAAGTACATGGAGATAGTGAGCCAAGATGATTTTGAGTTTTGGTTCATGGGGTTTGTGAGGTATGAGAAAGCCTTTCTGAATTTACAGAGAGCCATTTCTCTGACAGGGTAGATCATGAGATATATTTGGGTGGAAATGAAAAAATGTAGAAATAAATCTGTGTTAAAAAAAAAAGAGGTGTTTTTATCATGAGTGACAGTTTGAGCATTGTAGATTATTGATGTATTTGTGTGTGTTATAGGTTCGGTAGTTATGGTGCCATATTCGTAAGCTGGTGTAATAATGCTACTACTACATTTTATGTACAAGAAAATTGTTATTTGAACACTTGTTACTTCATTGAAATATTAAATGGAATTTCAGGAACGATTTCAGGAATTTTATATCGATACCATGACATTCAATATATATTACGTTAGATTCATTTGAAAACTCCATCTGCGCTGCACATATCTAGCAATTCAAGTGCATTGTATTCATACTTCAAAGACTCAAATTTCAGAATAATAACCCCCAAGAGTAATATATATTAAACAGAAACAGGAAATAACATCAGTCAGAGCCATTAACCTTCAGATTAGAGAAATTTCATATATATATGGATCATTTAGTGTGGGTAGATGAGACCCTGATTATAAGTTATAATAAAACCAAGGGAAAAGTATGTAATATCAGAGGCGGACCTATGTTGTAATTAGGGAGGCAATGTCCCCCAAACTTTTAAATACTCATTTGTTGTGATCCTCAGCTTGTGATTGATCAAGTACCATCTCTTGACGTGAAGCGGACATTTCTGTTCACACTGTTGGGCCTGGTTTTGGTTGGTCCAACATTGCATTTCTGGTGATGTCCAGAATGCCTAATATATGCAATCACACCTTGAATGGTGCATAACTTCGTTACATATGTTATAATATGTACATATCAATCAATTCGCATTTTGGTTTCATTTAACCACAAGTAGCATTCAATAGAATGCTGGAAAAGCCTTAATAGCATAAACTAGAAACTAATATTAACTTTTTGTATTGCATGTTTAGGTATTTGTATTTGAGTAAACTGGTTACGACTCTCGGTTAGTCTTCATCCCCATCTGAATCAAATCATCAATTAAAATTAAAAAAACGAGAGAGAGAGAGAGAGAGATTCAAAGCTTCGTTGTGGCTGACCACGAGACAGCGACACATTCCTTCATTTTCCCGAACACATCACACATAGCTTCCGAACATTCACATTTGCATGATCATCGTGTTCCAAGTAACATCTCGATTTGGCATTTTACCAAACACTAGAAGTGCACCATTTATCTTACCACAGGATGCATATAAATGGACTATTACATTTAGCAGAATAATGTCGACCAAAGCCCGAGTTTTTTTTTTCATCAAAAAGCGAGTATCAGTCACCCCATGGGAAATATACTGCAATATAAGACATGCCTTGAGCTCAAATGGGGTCTTAATTTATAAAATGCCTTGAGCTCACAACATGAATTGGAAATGAGGAAGAAATAAAAATCAGTACTTTCTTGCAAAATGAACTGAAAAGGAAGCATCTTTATGCAGATAAGAACTTGAACTGGGGATAGGCATGATTTAGTGAGAGAAACTGCAAGAAAATGACAAAAATTGTAAAATTTATATAATATATGATTTTTTCTTTTTCCGGTTAGCACAATTTAGGTTCAGCCGGTTTAAGTGCTACCCCTCTCTGCTCTATCTCAACTAGTAATCAACATGTGGATTTGCACAAATATAAATTCTTAGAAAAGAAAATAAGAAACTAAAAGAAACAAAAATACTAAATCATAATTTAATTCAAGAAAAAATATTAATTAAGAAAAAAATTCTAAATATTATTAAAAAGTATTTTATATACAACATTTATATTTTATATACAATATTTTAATATAACGCCATAGAAAATTTGACATCTCTTGATCATTAGGTAATGCTTTTTAGTTAAATGACATTAGTAACATAATATTGCACCATAACATTTGGATTTAGAATAAGAAAAAATATATAAAATTAGAATATGGCAACATGATAATGAGATATATTGGTGTTTGAAAAATAATTCATTATTAATGATTTACACTATTAGATATATTGTTTTTTCTTGTAGGTGAATATATATATATATATATATTGAAATAGATGACTGAATATTTTTAGTTTTTCTTAATTATTTGATTTTGTAATTTTGGAATCTGAATTATTGTGTGAATCATTTTTACGTTTAATATATAATAATGTAATTTAATGATTTGTTGCTCCTCTTCATATATATCTATACTCTTATTTATAAAAAGTAAGCATATATCCTCTTTTCTTGACAAGTGTCTCCTTGAATATTAGAAGGCCACGTCGCTCAACTATACTCTTATTTATAAAAAGGAAGCATATACCCTCTTTTCTTGACATGTGTCTCCTTGAATATTAGAAGGCCACGTCGGTCAATATAAAAACGACGTCGTTCTAGGAATGAAGTTTCTGAACCGTTGATTTTAGGGATCAAATCCCTACCGTTGATTTTAGGGATCAAATCCCTACCGTCGTCTAACGCTTGAAATAATCTCCTCTCTCATTCTCGCCGACTGAACTCTCTCTCTCTCTCTCTCCCTCCCTATGTTTCTCCTTCTCTGTTCTTCACGATACACAGATAGACCTTCGATGGATTGTTTGTGAGGCGTGAGAAGAGTCTCCGCCGTTCCTCCGTCGTTCCGCCGTACAGCCGCTGCATCGTAGCCTCCCTTTATCTCCGGTCACAGGCCCTTTGTGGTGCCTTGGGCGATTCCTTCTGCGGAGGAGAGGGCTTCACAATGTGGGTCGAGCTGAGGCTTCGTTTGTCTGACGTTCATCCCGCGGGGAGATGGCCGACGAACCAATGTCGGTAAGAATATTTCTGGCTTTGTTCTAATTTATTTTTAATTTCAACTTAGTTTATCTGTATAATTTTATGAAAGAATATGTTTTCAATCCTATGATGACGTAATTTTGGGTTTATTCTGGTTTTTTCTTTGTTCTTCTGCTCTTGAAAATCAAAGCTACGTGTATTCAACCATTCTTTTTTATAACTTCGAAGGTCCTCTCCCTAACAAAATAACGATGTGTTCTGGAAAAATAAAGATGAATGGAATTTGGAAATAATTTTGTGTATATTTTTTTGAGAGGTTATTTATATTTATTTATCATTTACTTTTAATCCATAATCTTCTCTGCAATTCCCCTTTGGTTTTATATGTTATCATCTGACATTTCCTAGACGGCTCCACTTTATCATGTCCGATTTTGTATGTTGATAATGTTTTATAGGTTCATAGGTTGAGCATATATATCAAAATTCTGACATCTGAGACTAACGAATGTGTATCTGTTTTAGAATGATCTCGGGAGAGTGTTAGATTATCGTTCAAAGGATGAACTAGAGTAGCTCGAACAATGATTAGAAAGAAGTTTGGGCAACATCAGGCGTGAAAGGTATACCAACATAATATACATTTTATATATTCTGGAAACGAATAATTGTATATATAGCAGAAGATTAATCGGCCGTAAGTACTTATTTGAATCTGTTGTACCCAAACATCTTATCGCGAAGCACATTGTTCAACAAGCAAATTCATCGCTTGCTTGAAGCAACAGGTAAAAGTCTCCTACTAATGTTGATGATAAAGAAATGTGAATCAGCACAAAATTATGATATATTATTTTCGTGTACGTTCAGATTTGGCGTCTTCGTGTGTTGATGCTTAACCTTATTTGTTTGTCTTTTCGCTATTAAGTAGGTTAATATGTTTACCTTTTAAAGCAAAAGTTGATATGTATTGCAAATAATTTCATGCTTTGTGAAGTTATAGACACCTGCATATTTAAATTCCCTTCATTTGTTTGTCTTTTGGGTATTTGGTAGGTTAGGATGTCTAACTTTATGTGTTATTTATGTGCAAAGTACTCAAATTTTTTGCCTTTGTAGTGTTCTACTTCTTGGGAATATCATGCAAAAATACTTTAGTTGTTTTGATGGCTGCTTTTCCATTGTTTTGTTTTATATGTGCAACATTATAATATAAACCCTATTGTGTTGTTTTTACTAATATTAATTTAACTTAGTGATAAATTTTCTTAGTTTGCTGGATTTTAAAGGGGTAGAGGGATTTCCTGCGCATAATCTTTCAAATGAACACATGCTAATTGGATAGAATGGACTCTATATAGCCATCAGGTACATAAATTCTCATTATTCAAAGTTTCTCCATATCTAGGTTGATATCAGGCAGTATTTCTTTCATTGCCTATGTGTTTATGTTTGAGAATATGAAATGGGTTGTTTAGCTACTCAGTAATTGATGTCAGGCCTCTTTAGAGTTTATTTTGTACCAGTGACGGATCTAGAAATTTCACTCAGGGGGGTCCGATTTTAAATGTTAAATAACGAGCTTGCGGTTTTAGTGGAAACACTCATTTCGTATAAAAATGTATTTACTATAAATATAAATATCGATATGTGTATCATCAAGTTTTTAAAAACTTATAATCCATTTCAAAAAAAAAAAAAGGACATTTCAAGTATTTATAATTTAACTTCAATATCTATAAGTTATGGAAATATAAGTTTTATAGTTCAAAATTTGTTTTCAATTGAACTTTTGTAGTACATTATATAACATTTTTGTTGATCAAAGCTTACCAAATGAGCATTTTTTAAGACAATAAAAATAACGTTAAAAATATGTGATTACACAAAAAAAAAGTATTAAAAAATGTAACAATGCAACTAAATACTCAATTTTATATCATTAGATCGATTTACAATTAAGAGACCGAAAGAGTAAATCGTTATAAATATTTTCACAAACTTATTTCTCTAAATTATAAAGATTGTTAGTACATTTTTCAACAAATTAGATAATTTTTTTTAATTTAGATTAAAATAACATAGAAAATATGTTTTAATTATTAACATATTGTATATGCATTTCTAGACATATTTTATAGTAATTTTATATATATATATATAAATATATGTATATATATTGACTTAAAAAAATGAGGGGGGTCCATGGCCCCCCCTGAGCCTTATATGGCTCCGTGCATGTTTTGGACATTCAAATATTGTTCTTTTCACTTACCTCTTGGGCAAAGACAAAAACAGTTAAAATTGAATAAATTAATGTGCTATTGAGCAGTGTAATTATTTTTATTTTCGTCATTTTGTCTTTTATTCCCATTGCTTATATATTTCATATTTTTGTTTTTTATTTTTTGTAGTAATGGCCGATACCTCAATTATTTATCTGTTTCATTCTGCTTGAATATAAAGAAAAATAAATGTTTCCTACATGAAAAAAAAAATAAAAGGTGGATATTAAAGGCTCATGCACAACATTCTTATAAATATTAAACCCTATTGTTTCCATAAACCATTTTGTATTAGGTTTCCTGTTCCATTTTGCAATCCTTTTTTGGTACGAAATTCATGACATAATCTAATCATTTATGTGCTTCGCTTATAATGAAGGATTAAATTTATTGATTGTTTTGTAGGTTATGGTCGCTTTGTAAGTTATTGACTGGTGTTGAAGGGACTTTGGATTCTAGAAGACATAATTACAGAAAAATCCACTTTGTTTGATGTTATCAGGTTTGTATACTGTTCCTCGCAACTACTTTACTCATTGTACTTATTAAACTGGTTATCTTCTATTATGTGTGTTTGTCACTTTTTTTTCTCACTATTCTATCAAATTTGTTCTTATTTACTAATTTAATTCGAAATATTTAAAGAACTCCATGGTGTGATATAAATTAAATATTTTTAATACATGTTACATAAATAGCAGCAATTACCTAAAATAGCTTTTTTACTCATGAAGGATTGTCGTTGTCGACTAAAGTTGGTACTTGTTTGATGGTCAATCCACTTATACCTGCCGCAGCTGAAACAGTGGTACGCAACAAGATGAATCTTTATATGGACATACATATTTGCGTGCATATCTACACATATATAAAAAAACCTCAAATGTAGGTACATTGAAGACAAAAACAATGTTGCCAAGCTCATCGCTAAAGGAACATATAAAAACACAGACAAGTTGTTCATGTATCTTGAAAGCACTAATATAATACTACCTCATTCTTTTTAAATGTCATTTTGGTTTTATCAACTATTAACCAAAATAAATGTCGTTTTGGATCTTTTGTACATATTTTTCCATTATTACCCTCATTTAGTTAATAAATACACTACGTCTTTTCATATTCTCTTCATCCCTTTTTTTAAAACATCCATCTCTATTAATGAGGGTTATGATAGACAAAAAAATTATTCTTAATTAGTGTACAACTTCCCAAAACGACACTTATTATGAATAGGAGGGAGTATAAAATTAAAATTCTTGTTATTCGTAACACTTTTTTGATTATGTTGATTTAAGAATTTGATGTATTTATGGGTGTACACTCTAATCGATGTGTTATTAGGTAACAATCTATTTGTGGTTTCTATATTACCTTTTGATCATTTTCTAATTATAAACAATATTCTAGGTTGAACCGTGCGCCGGCCGTGCTTTGCACGGCAAGAGCCGACTAGTATATATATATATATATATATATATATATATATATATTCTAAAACCCTTAAACATGAAAACTCTAACGTTGCCAGTTCATAATTTTATCCATTTGAAGTAGAGAAGCGACAATGGCAGCCCCGCACCTAGCAAATCTGATAACAAAATCGTGTCTCCGGAGACCATTGGCAAGCTTTTGCAGAGCACCCAAAAGCTATCTCAATGCCCAAAGCAGGATTTTTGGAATCAACACAGTTTCCTTGCAAGGGTTTCCTAGCAGGATATCGCCGGCGTTGGCCGCCGGTTTTAAGATGTTTGGTGGTACTGGGTTCGGGCCTGTGCAATTTGGTATTCGCTCTTTTTGAGTTTCGAGCGGCCGTGGAGCTGGTGGTGGTTCTGGAAGCTCCGGCGCCGAAGGGTCTGGTGGTGGTGGTGGAAGTGGTGGTGGTGGAGGAAATGGTTCGGGTTTGCTTTCATGGTAGATATTTTATATGTACTTCTTTGGTATGCTTAGGCTTTTTTTGTTTTTCCACAATTGAGTTAATGCATGTTAAAGAACTCTTTGTTTTGTTTTGTTTTCTGTGCATTTGCAACTTTGGGATTGTTACTTTGGAACTTTTGAATGAGATAAAGTAGTTACAATATAGCTGAGATATAGAAAAATCAGGCCTGCTTAGGTTTGCTGAGCTTTCAACATTTTTGTGCAAGTTCGTTATGCGAGTTGTGAGGCCTCGAAGGAAAACCAGTAGGAGGTTAGCAACGTGTTGAGATGTTGATTCTTCGCCAATGGATTGTCAATTAATAGCTTAAGAATATGATAATACATGTGAATATGCTGTGCTCGTTTGTCGTTCTCTTGTAACAAAGTGCCACTTGCTCGTTTAATTTGTTTCCTAAAATTTTGTGCAGGTATCTGCCTCTCCTTGCCAAGCATCCTGTGATGACAAAAGCAATTACATCCGCATTCTTAACTTTGGTTGGAATATGATCTGCCAGGTAGACTGTCTATTGCATGTGATAAAGAGCATGTAATTAACCAGAATGAATGATGGGAAAGGAGAAATAGAAAAACTTTTTTCTTCCTTTCTTGATTACGTGCTTGAAAGCAAATAAGCAATAGGTATTGAAGTTGGATACTTTGTCGAGTTCTCAGTTCTTACTGTCTACAGAAAGATTTCTAACTCAAGAAATTCTCAATACGTCTGAGGAGATGAATTTTTCGGCGAGCATAAATGCAAATTTCAAGAATAAAAGACTGGCAATGTTTCGTTACAGGAGTCATTGAGTTACGAGTTTAATCATAGTGTTCAAGTCATTATAATGCATATACGTTTATATGAATTTCCTTTTCTGACTGCTACTGTTGGTAATTTATGGAAGGATTGTATGTTTTATGGAGGAGATGACACAATCGCTTTAGTAATTCATATGCCCAATCTTGATTATTCAGTTTAAACTGTTGACGAAGGACCGGAGCCAATATCTCTTGTCTACCTCATGCTTTTAAAAAGACACTTGAACTCTTAAATACTTTTCTTATCGTCATCTTTTAGTCATGGCCTGAAAACTGATGATGTTTGCTTCCACTTTGAATCGCAGCTTGTAAACCAGTTGTTATTACTATGACGTTTGAATATCTTTCACCAAGGTTGCTAATATATTAGCTTGTACTGTATTATCTGAAGTCTGAACTTGATTAAGTTTCAACATNTTTTTTTTTTTCACAACGGTAGAAGCTTCATTTCACAGAAAAATAGATACAAGACGAGAGTCTAAATAGACCCTATCAGTTCAGTGCAAACAAACATACAGAGGCCATCTAACAAGATGCTTAAACTCCCAAATCAAACATAACTTGGTACAAATAGAGGCAGTGGTAACTGAGACCTCTATCTACCCTAAGGACAATAAACAAGCAACCATCAAAAAATGCTCAAGACAATAACGACTAAGATAATAATGAGACAGAACTGTTACAAGAAGATGAAGAAAAAGCACCACTGAACCAATGGACCTAGCAACAAATTCTCCATCATAGATCATCCATGAGCAAGCCTGCTAGTAACAAATTCTTGCCAATCAGCTTGAGCAGAATCAATAACCACACTATCTGGCATCCAAATCTGTTGGAATTTCTAAAGATTTCTGGACTTCCATAACCACCAAAGGATATAGGTGGTTAATTCAATCCTTGCTTCAGAAATTTCCTTTCTATCAACAGCACACACAGTCCACCACCAATGTCTGAATGGGGCCGATTCTTCTATTTCATTCCAGTTAACTGAGGCTAGTCTCCAAATACTTTTGGCTCTGTTGCAGTGCAGAAAAATATGCTCCACAGTCTCCAAGGCCTGACCACAACTGGAGCACCATGGATCAACATCCATTCCTCTATGCTTCAAATTAAAACCAACAGGCAGAGAGTTATTATAGCATTGCCAAATAAAGTGCTTAAGCTTGGCCTTGATCTTAAGTCCCCAGCTTCTGTTTCTGATTTTCTTTTCCCATAAGGCATTAGAACTACTACCAGCAATGTCAAGCTTCTTGATTTTGTCAGCCACTAGTTTAGAATAGGAACTAGCAACTGAGAATTTACCTTTGCGATCTAGAGTCCATTGCCATTTGTCTGCCAGATGGGGGTCTAATGAAGAAATCTCCAGTATAGCCTCTGCATCTTCCTTAGAGAAGCAGTCCAAAATGAGCCTTCTGTTCCATGATCTGCCATCCTCCATGATAAGTTCAGAAACCCATTTCACAGTATTAAACCCCACATCAGTTTTTTCAGGTATACCAGAAGTAGAATTTGGGATCCAAGGGTCAGACCACACATTTATAAAGCTGCCTGTTCTCACAATCACTCTAAAGTACTGCTTGAATTTGTCTTTAACCAACAGTCAATTAGACCACAACCAAGAGGAGTTATAATGCCTTTTAGCTTGCAAAATGGAGCAGTCAGGAAAATATTTCCCTTTTAGAACTTTAGTGACTAGCAGATTGGGATGAGTTGCTAACCTCCAAAGCTGTTTGAGAATTAGAGCCTCATTAAAGAGACTTATGTCCTTGAAACCCAGTCCTCCAACATCTTTGGGCAGAGTCACCACCTTCCATTGCTTCCAGTGAATCCCAGGCATTAGTTCCCCCTTGCTCCACCAGAAGGTAGCTGAAAGTTTAGATAATTCCTTGCAAACTCCTTTAGGCAAAGTAAAGCAAGACATAGAAAAAACAGGCAGAGCACTAATCACTGCTTTCAGTAAAACATCTTTTCCAGCAGTAGATAAAAATTGATTTTTCCAGCTATGCAGTCTTGATCTCACAGAATTAAGAACATAATCAAAAGATTCCTTCTTAGATCTACCAATACCTAGAGGGAGTCCTAGGTATCTGGTTGATCTATGGAATTGAATGCCACTGAGAATCTGACAGATGAAACTTTGCTGAGAACACAAGATATTCTTACTGAAAAAAATTGAAGACTTCCCCAAATTTACTTTTTGCCCTGAGAAGAAGTCTGAACTTGATTAAGTTTCAACTTTCTGCTTATTTAACCTTTTAATTGTTCTATCATGCTTGCAATTGACTCATTTGTTGTGATCCTCAGCTTGTGATTGATCAAGTACCATCTCTTGACGTGAAGCGGACATTTCTGTTCACACTGTTGGGCCTGGTTTTGGTTGGTCCAACATTGCATTTCTGGTGATGTTCTGAATGCCTAATATTTGCAATCACACCTTGAATGGTGCATAACTTCGTTACATATGTTATAATATGTACATATCAATCAATTCGCATTTTGGTTTCATTTAACCACAAGTAGCATTCAATAGAATGCTGGAGAAGCCTTAATAGCATAAACTAGAAACTAATATTAACTTTTTGTATTGCATGTTTAGGTATTTGTATTTGAGTAAACTGGTTACGACTTCCGGAGCCTCTGGTACTCTCTTGCGCCTTATTCTTGATCAGGTGACATGCTGCAGCAGCCCAATTACATCTTTTTTTGAGTTTTGATAATCCTTTTTATTCTATACTGTTTTTATTAAATACACAATAGTTAACCTCTTTACTGGAATTGATTCGATGTTTTATGATGCAGTTTGTTTTCGCGCCCATTTTCATTGGAACTTTTCTTTCTATTCTGATTACTCTTGAGGGGAGGCCATCGGATGTAATACCAAAACTGAAACAGACAAAATTAGGCATGTCGACATGATAATTACTAGATTTAATTATATTTTGGGATATTTTTCTGTTATATGTAAACACACACACTGTAACACCCCGCCTAGACTTACTAAAAACAGAGTAAATTTTTCGCGATATAAATGGGAAGCACTTATTTATTTTTCGAAAACATTAATAATTTTCGAAAAGACTTTAACTTTAATACACGAGATGCTACTGCTGTAATCTATTCTCTTTAATTACTATGCATGCAACCAAGTAAAGTTTACTGGAGTCATTCATGTATTCTGAAATTCTGAAATTATAGTTCTGAAATGCGGAAGCAAATATAGTTCGGAAGAAACACACCAACACATGAAAAACATGCAAATACAAAAGACAGTTTAGACATGTTCAAGTAACTATAAGACATGTCATATCAAAAATGTCCTGGCTGACGACCACCACCACATCCAGCTCACGCTCCACGCGGGACTCCGTCACCTGAAAAAGAAGGTAGTGGGGAGGCGTGAGCACAAAGAAATCAATGGTGCTTCGCCGAAACCAGTACTGAATACCCAGCACCTTTAATAATCCATCATGAAATTAGCATATATATAAATAAACTGGAACTGACTATATGGGACTAACGGTAAACCGGTACTCATATGCACACTCTGGGGGTCCCCTCCCTCAGAAATCCAGGAAGGCACTAATCGCCGCATGTGGACGCTAGACTTAGGATGGGCCCTAATCACACGCATCCAAGTCATAACTGAAATACTGAAATACTGACCAAGACGAGATTACTCAACCGTCTCGGTCCTTCAATTTAATCACATATAGACCTCAGACATGGTAAACTATTAAAAGCAATGAAATACACAGTACAGGATCCCCACCTGAAAACTGGCGAATGCGAAATGCGGAAATGCTGAAATGAGTAGCTGACGGAGGCTCGACTCTCCTCAAGCTACAAAATATATTGAGCGAAATATTATAAGTACTGGGCTCAGAATAAAACTCAAATCTTTAATATCTTATATATCTAGGTTCGCTCATTCTGCTTTAAAAATCATTTTAGGGATTTACGAGCTGATTTTTGAAAATATTATTGTTTTTGAGGCATTCTAGAATTCTCTGAAATTTTTCTAAGTCTGGAACTAAAATCTGATTTAATCTAATCTGACTGAAATCTAACTGTATCTGGATCTTAAATCTATCTAGAATCTCAACTATATCTGAAATCTTAATCTGACTGGATCTAAAATTTATCTCGAAACGTCCGGACTGACCGGACCGATTCGACTAAATTGGACCGACAACTCACTCGGAGCCGGTCGGTCATTCGCTGAACTATGTGCAGCTCGGTTTGACCGTGGTTTGACTGACACGGTTTAGCCGATGCACGAGTTTGAAACGGTGCCACGGTCACTGACGCAGGGGCGTGCTTGGACCACGACTAAGGGAACGACGCGTGAACGGTAGGTCGGATGGACTCGGTGCACGGGCACACACTCGGTTATTCGGCTCCAACGGTCGGACGAGAGTCGAGCACGTGTGTGAGACGACGATACGCATCACGAATTTTCGATACGACGTTTAAGATTATTCAGACGGTACTAGGGTTCGGTTATTTATATTCGGATCCGGGAAAATACCCGGTTACCGGATCCGGATAAAATTAGGGTTTTGATTCTCGAAAATCCTACTCATGTAGGGCCGATATTTAATATATATTTTCTATGTGATTTAAATATCAATTTATAATTCACAACTGCAGCTAAAGTATTAACCGGACTGTTTTTCTATATTTCTCGAATTAACGGCTAAAGTCCCGATTTTAAATCTAAGTCAACCAGCATCCAAAATTCACGAAATTCGCAACATAACATCCTCAACATATGTACAGTCCATGGTCAACGTCTTAAGTCCAAAGTCAACTCCTAGACTAGTCAACTCAAGATCGCTACGACCGGTCAACATGTTTGACCGGCTCGTTCGCCTATCAAACGAAGTCCGAAAATTCTCAAATTCGCACCTAAGCCTCAAATCAACGCAACGAATTTAATGGAATTTAGACATTTTATCGAATTTATTTAAAAAGTCCGGAAAAATTGCTTCAAGCCCGAAAATCCCGATTTATTCAAATCTCACTCAAATCACCAATTCATCATTTTTATAATTATTCAATATTCGCATCTAAGCCATTGGAGTCGAGTTTTAGCCGATATACCTTAAATTGGCTCGGATCGGATAAACCGAAAGTAGATCGAGCTAGGAAAATGGATCGGGCGATAAGAACGAGTCGGATCTCGGGCTGTGGGCCGCGGATCCGGGTCAGCTGGTCGCAGATCAGGCCTGAGGTGTGCTCGCCGGCGTGGAAGAGCTGCCTGTGGAATCGCCGCCGTGAAGGGCTGGACGGCACGGCGGGGCTGGGCTCGTCGACGAGCGGCTGAGGAGCTCGCCGTGAATGGGTGGTCGCGGTGGTGGAGCTCGAGCTGTGACTGCGTGAGGTGGTGGCGAGCTGAGGACGACGGCGGCAGAGCTGCTGTGAGTTCGCCGGCGACGGGCTGAGGTCGCGGCTTAGCTGAGGGAGGGCGGCCAAGATGGTGCTCGCCGGAGCTAAAAAAAAAACGGGCCTAACAATTAATATGTCGGGCTCGGTTATTAATCGACTATTGGCTCGGATTTAAAAATCGACTATGTACTCGGGCTAGAAAAATAGAAATCCTACGCTCGGTTAAATAAAATTAATCGAACTAGGACTAATTAAATTAGTCGGTCGAAATAATTACTGATAATAGGCCGGCTAAAATTATTGGGCTTGCTCGAAAATGGTTGGGCTTGAATAAATTAAATATTCGGGCTTTGATCCGCTTAAATAAAATTTTGATTGATCAAAGACTCGGTTTTAAAAAAATATAACCGATACTTGGGCTAGATGAATTCGACTTTAATAATTAAAATCGAATGAATACTCCATGGCTTAGATTTTAATACTAATTATTTAATTTAATGCAATCAATAAAATAAAAGAAATGCATAAAATATAGAAACTTAATACTCCAAGGCACCATCTGCGCCTCGGTAAAATCCCTCTACACCCTCGGTAATAACCTTTGCCCTCATGGTACGGATGAACTCGTCCGCAGACTGATCACTCCGAACTCTGTCTCGGAGCATGGGCCTCACTCCCATCGACCGAATCCCTCATACTACCGGAATCGTAGGAAGTGACTTGACGATGTCTAACTGCATCCGAGCGAACTCTCGAAGGAGCTGACTCTGCTAGGTGATCATGCAAGTCAACTCGCCCCTCGCCTTCCGGCTAAGGGCATCAGCTACTACGTTCGCCCCGGGATGGTACTGAATGGTGCAGTCATAATCCTTCACTAGCTCTAACCATCGCCTCTGGCGATGTTGAGCTCCTTCTGCGTGAAGATATACTGCATACTCTTGTGATCGGTGTAGATCTCACATCGACCACCATACAAGTAATGCCTCCAAATCTTGAGTGCGTGAACAACGGCTGCCAACTCAAGATCGTGAGTCGGATAGTTCTCCTCGTGGGGCTTCAGCTGCCGCGAAGCGTATGCGACAACCTTGCCCTCCTGCATGAGCACGCACCCAAGTCCCTGCTTCGAAGCATCACTAAAGATAGTGAAACTCCGTGTAGGGTCCGGTATAGTCAGCACGGGCGCTGTAGTCAACCTATCCCTGAGCTCCTGAAAGCTCGACTCACAGCGACTACTCCACTCGAACTTAACCCATTTCCTCGTCAAGCGTGTCAAGGGTAGGGCTATCTTCGAAAATCCCTCGATGAACCTCCTGTAGTAGCCTGCTAACCCGAGAAAGCTCCGTATCTCGGTAACAGACCTCGGTACTGACCAGTTCTTGACTGCCTCGATCTTTTCGGGATCGACCTCGAGGCCCTCGGCCGTAACGATGTGACCGAGGAACGCCACTCGATCGAGCCAAAACTTACACTTCGAGAACTTGGCGTACAGTCTCTGTCATCTAAGAGTCTCCAACACGATCCTCAAATGCTCCTCGTGCTGGTCGGTGCTCCTCGAGTAGACCAAAATGTCATCTATGAAGACGATGACAAACTGGTCCAGGAATGGGTAGAAGACACGGTTCATGAGATCCATGAATACTGCCGGTGCATTGGTCAAGCCGAACGGCATCACGACGAACTCATAGTGACCGTATCGGGTACGAAACACGGTCTTAACCACGTCAGAGTCCTTGATCTTCAGCTGATGGTAGCCCGACCGCAAATCTATCCGGGAAAATACACGGGCACCCCTCAGCTGTCAAACAAATCCTCGATCCTGGGGAGTGGATACTTGTTCTTCACCGTCAACCGGTTCAAGTCCCGATAATCGATGCACATACGCAAAGTCCCGTCCTTCTTCTTGACGAATAGGACAGGTGCTCCCCAAGGAGAGATGCTCGGTCGGATAAAACCGAGACTCAATAGCTCCTGAATCTGAGCCTTCAGCTCCTGAAGCTCCTTCGGCGCCATACAATACGGCGCTTTCGACACTGGCTCGGCTCCAGGCACTAGGTCGATCGTGAACTCCACCTGGCGGTTAGGTGGTCCTCCCGGTAGCTGATCCGGAAAGACGTCCACGAAGTCACGCACGATGGGTACATCTCCGGGAATCCGCTCCTCCGAAGGTCCCCCGACCATGCTCACCAGGTATCCCTGGCAATGCTCTTTCTGCAAACACTTATCTGCCTTCGCCATCGAAATGACTCGGGGTAGGGTCCTCGTCTTCGTCCCGAAGAACATAATACGATCTCCCTCGGCTAAGTGTAGTGTCACCTCCCTGTCACGACATCGGATGTCTGCGTGATATCTCTCCAACCAATCCATGCCGAGAATGAGGTTGAAGTCCCTCATCTCGATCACGAATGCATCAACCTCTAAAGTTCTGCCGCCAATATTCATGCTAAGATTTACGGCCAAGGAGCTCGTAACTATCTTCCTCCCCGAAGCTAAGCTGATCTCGAGGGGGTCGACGACACTCACTCCTCGGACTCCTAAGGCCTCTAGACACTTGGACGAGACGAACGAATGTGTCGCCCTGGTGTCGAACAACGCAAAGATAGGTACATCATGCAATGAAATCATTCCGGACATGGTACCTGGCTGCTCGGCGGCCTGTGCATGGTCAAGTGCGTAGACGCGTGCGGGTGCTCCACATGGCTGGTTGGGAGCCGGCTGACGCTGAGCTCTGTCTAGGCAATCCCCCCTCAGGTGTCCGGGTCTCCGGTAGTGGAAACAGATGCCTGCAAGACACTCACCAGTATGGTGGCGTCCACAGGTAGCGCAAGCTGGGGCAATCTGCTGGACTGGCTGTGCGGCCTAAGCTCGGGCCTGATCTCTCTGTCGGACCCTCCTATCCTGCCGGTCTCTCCCCCTCCTCTTGTTCTGACGCTGTGGCTGCTGAGGGAGAGCCGGCTGCTGGCGAACGACGGTGGGAATACGGATGGCCTCCAGTCGAATACTCTCCTCAACCTGCTGAGCCCGAGTGACGGTCTCAGCTCAAGTTGAGCCGCCGTGGCCGGCGATGTGGTGGCGAATCTCCCCGCGGAGACCGCCCTTGAAGCGTCTCACCCTTGTCTCCTCCGTATCAACCTGGTTCGGCACGATGAAAGCGAGGCGAGGGAAGTCTCTCTCATACTCATCGACAGTCCTAGCACCCTGCTCCAGTGCTAAGAACTGCATCTCCATCCTCTCTTCGTAGGGGGCCGGGTAATACTTCTGCCGGAGGAGCGCCTTGAGGCCAGCCCAAGTGAGGGCTAGCTTCTCCCCGGGTCGCATGTCCCAGTATGAAGCCCACTAGAGACCTGCGTCCCCTATCATCTGAAGCTGTGCACACATGATCCTGTGCGGCTCGGGGCAATCCATCACCTCGAAAATCAGGTCAAGACTGCGCAACCACTCGTCTACCAGCCTCGGGTCCCCCTGCCCATTAAACGTCGGGGGGTGATACCCACGAAACTGAGAGACTGAAAAGGCCTGGTCGCGCACAGGAGCGACCGGCGGGGGCGCTGGTGCACGCGGAGTTGGTTCGGGCGCGGCCCGTGCTCGGCGTGGCTGCAGGGCTCGACGAGGAGGCATCTGAATAGTCAAATGACAGGAATTAGCAGGAAGCATTACATCATTGACGGAGGATTAATTACTCAGAACAGTTAACAGAAATACTCAAAGTTAACTATCCCTGCTGAAATTCTAACTGAAACAGTATAGCCGATTAATAAATAGCTACACTATACTTTAATCAGTTATCGGATTCCGAAAACACCCAGCTTGGCTAGAGTTCCTGTTACACTAACATCTTCTAAGTTCTGACTAGAATTCTGGCAAAAATTCTCAAATCTTAATTCGAAGGATAGATCGTACGCCCCTGAAATATTCTGACTATAATTAAACATGCATTCGCAAATAATAAAGGTTGTTTAGGTGACGTACCTCGGAGTCCGCGTGGCGTGAGCGTGGTGTGGTCATATTTCTACTAAAATTTTCAGTATACAGAACCACTAAGTGGCTCTGATACCAACTGTAACACCCCGCCTAGACTTACTAAAAACAGAGTAAATTTTTCGCGCTATAAATGGGAAGCACTTATTTATTTTTCGAAAACATTAATAATTTTCGAAAAGACTTTAACTTTAATACACGGGATGCTACTGCTGTAATCTATTCTCTTTAATTACTATGCATGCAACCAAGTAAAGTTTACTGGAGTCATTCATGCATTCTGAAATTCTGAAATTATAGTTTTGAAATACAGAAGCAAATATAGTTCGGAAGGCACACACCAACACATGAAAAACATGCAAATACAAAAGACAGTTTAGACATGTTCAAGTAACTATAAGACATGTCATATCAAAAATGTCCTGGCTGACGACCACCACCACATCCAGATCACGCTCCACGCGGGACTCCGTCACCTGAAAAAGAAGGTAGTGGGGAGGCGTGAGCACAAAGAAATCAACGGTGCTCCGCCGGGACCGGTACTGAATACCCAGCACCTTTAATAATCCATCATGAAATTAGCATATATATAAATAAACTGGAACTGACTATATAGGACTAACGGTAAACCGGTACTCATATGCACACTCTGGGGGACCCCTCCCTCAGAAATCCAGGAAGGCACTAATCGCCGCATCTGGACTTAGGATGGGCCCTAATCACACGCATCCAAGTCACAACTGAAATACTGAAATATTGACCAAGACGAGATTACTCAACCGTCTCGGTCCTTTAATTTAATCACATATAGACCTCAGACATGGTAAACTATTAAAAGCAATGAAATACACAGTACAAGATCCCCACCTGAAAACTGGCGAATGCGAAATGCGGAAATGCTGAAATGAGTAGCTGACGGAGGCTCGACTCTCCTCAAGCTACAAAATATATTGAGCGAAATATTCTAAGTACTGGGCTCAGAATAAAACTCAAATCTTTAATATCTTATATATCTAGGTTCGCTCATTCTGCTTTAAAAATCATTTTAGGGATTTACGAGCTGATTTTTGAAAATATTATTGTTTTTGAGGCATTCTAGAATTCTCTAAAATTTTTCTAAGTGTGGAACTAAAATCTGATTTAATCTAATCTGACTGAAATCTAACTGTATCTGGATCTTAAATCTATCTAGAATCTCAACTATATCTGAAATCTTAATCTGACTGGATCTGAAATTTATCTCGAACCGTCCGGACTGACCGGACCGATTCAACTAAATTGGACCGACAGCTCACTCGGAGTCGGTCGGTCATTCGTTGGACTATGTGCAGCTCGGTTTGACCGTGGTTTGACTGACACGGTTTAGCCGATGCACGAGTTTGAAACGGTGCCACGGTCACTGACGCAGGGGCGTGCTTGGACCACGGCTAAGGGAACGACGCGTGAATGGTAGGTCGGATGGACTCGGTGCACGGGCACGCACTCGGTTATTCGGCTCCAACGGTCAGACGAGAGTCGAGCACGTGTGTGAGACGACGATACGCATCACGAATTTTTGATACGACGTTTAAGATTATTCAGACGGTACTAGGGTTCGGTTATTTATATTCGGATCCGAAAAAATACCCGGTTACCGGATCTGGATAAAATAAGGGTTTTGATTCTCGAAAATCCTACTCATGTAAGGCTGATATTTAATATATATTTTTTATGTGATTTAAATATCAATTTATAATTCACAACTGCAGCTAAAGTATTAACTGGACTATTTTTCTATATTTCTCGAATTAACGGCTAAAGTCCCGATTTTAAATCTAAGTCAACCGGCATCCAAAATTCACGAAATTCGCAACATAACATCCTCAACATATGTACAGTCCATGGTCAACGTCTCAAGTCCAAAGTCAACTCCTAGACTAGTCAACTCAAGATCGCTACGACCGTCAACACGTTTGACCGGCTCGTTCGCCTATCAAACGAAGTCCGAAAATTCTCAAATTCGCACCTAAGCCTCAAATCAACGCAACGAATTTAATGGTATTTATTTCGACATTTCATCGAATTTATTTAAAAAGTCCGGAAAAATTGCTTGAAGCCCGAAAATCCCGATTTATTCAAATCTCACTCAAATCACCAATTCATCATTTTTATAATTATTCAATAATCGCATCTAAGCCATTAAAGTCGAGTTTTCGCCGATATACCTTAAATCGGCTCGGATCGGGTAAACCGAAAGTAGATCGAGCTAGGAAAATGGATCGGGCGATAAGAACGAGTCGGATCTCGGGATGTGGGCCGCGGATCCGGGTCAGCTGGTCGCAGATCGGGCCTGAGGTGTGCTCGCCGGCGTGGAAGAGCTGCCTGAGGAGCTCGCGTGAATGGGAGGTTACGGTGGTGGAGCTCGAGCTGTGACTGCGTGAGGTGGTGGCGAGCTGAGGACGACGGCGGCGGAGCTGCTGTGAGTTCGCCGGCGACAGGTTGAGGTCGCGGCGGAGCTGAGGGAGGGCGGCCAAGATGGTGCTCACCGAAAATGGAGCTGAACGGAGCTGCGGGTTCGCCGGCGAGGGTTCGACGGTGGCTCGCCGAAAAAACGAGGTGGTGGCCGGATTTGTAATGGTGGTGGCTTGAAGATGATGGATTTATGCTAAGGAAGGAGATGATGAATAGTGTTGGGAGGCTAGGGTTTGTTGGAAAAAGGGGAACAAGATACATATATATATATGAGTGTAGGGAGCTAGGGTTTTATGTTCTTGGGCTTAAAAAAAACGGGCCTAACAATTAATAGGTCGGGCTCGGTTATTAATCGACTATTGGCTCGGATTTAAAAATCGACTATGTACTCGGGCTAGAAAAATAGAAATCCTACGCTCGGTTAAATAAAATTAATCGAACTAGGACTAATTAAATTAGTCGGCCGAAATAATTACTGATAATAGGCCGGCTAAAATTATTGGGCTTGCTCGAAAATGGTTGGGCTCGAATAAATTAAATATTCGGGCTTTGATCTGCTTAAATAAAATTCTGATTGATCCAAGACTTGGTTTTAAAAAAATATAACCGATACTTGGGCTAGATGAATTCGACTTTAATAATTAAAATCGAATGAATACTCCATGGCTTAGATTTTAATACTAATATTTAATTTAATGCAATTAATAAAATAAAAGAAATGCATCAAATTTAGAAACTTAATATTTATGGAAATATAGTCGAGCTCCATAAATAGTAACTAAAAATCTGGGCGTTACACACACACACACACACATATTAATCTTAACTTTTGTATAATAAATCGTAGGAGTGGTTCTCGTCGGTTCTTGCAAATTGGCAGCTGTGGATACCTTTCCAGTTCCTCAATTTTCGATTTGTGCCCCAACAGTTTCAGGTTTGGTTTACTTGTGTGCGCCTATAAACAAATCGAAATGGGTTATGCTGTTTTCTTGAGGAGAAAAATATCGTCACAAGTACCCGGTTTTGACCAGTTACTATAGTGTGAATGTATGAAATGTGATGATGACCAGCACATTTCTCTTTAACAAATATAAGAAAGCTGTTGTTTGACCTAAAAAGACATGTTTTTGTTGCGAAAATCTTTTTTACAGGTCCTTGCTGCTAATTTTATTTCCTTAATATGGAACGTGATTCTTTCCTATAAAGCACACAAAGAAGTTACTGCCAAATAGGTAAGTCTCACTTCTGTTTTCAACAGCAACAAGAAAAAAGCTGGTAAATTTTTGTACACCCATGTCTGGCAGCTTATCAGTGGTATTATTGGTTGAAAATATTGCAGAATGTGGGCTGAGCTGGGGTTGCAATGGTAGTTTAAGTTTGAGAGAGGCAATATGTATCAGCTTTCTTTTATGTCTCCTAGAGCAGAGTTTTATTTTACCGGTTTACTGCAGAAAACCGTCTTTTGATTGTGAAATGTAGATTAAAAATTGTGTTCTTTTGGTCTTATTATTTATTGATCTGAGTTGGCTTAGTTTTCTTTACAACTCTTCTTATGTCCAAGTGAGCACTAGTTCAGTTTTTAACTAGAAATAGTCCTCCAATTCATGACTACTTATGTCTTGGTTTAAATTTTTAAATGAAACAATATAATGCATACAAAGTGCAGATATTTTCTTGAAGTTTAGCATTGCCCTTTTAAGGATGATGTGTTTGTCTGCCAATACAAGGCGATTTAACTAATTTGAAAGTAGTTTAGCTCGCAATTTAAGGAATGAGGTTGATATATATCTGCCATGTTGTCCTACTTCCAATCTTTTATAATGCTTAAACCCTTTTGTGATTTGCTTTTGTAGGTTAACTAACACCAACTAAACCACTAAAGCCATTTGAAGTAGTTAATCAAACACACTTGGCACAAACAACACTACTTTTCTTTTAAATAATATTAATTACTATTACTATGTTGCAACTAGTGACGACTCGGTCGTTAATGCTTGAGATTGACTCAGCTCGTTAAAATGTCGACTCCGAGATCGTTGAAAGATCGTTCAGTTAATGAGTTGGATATGGCTAGGCTCAATAAAGTTCGCTGAGACTTGAAAAAAAAATATTTAATTCGACTCGTCAATTTTAATAAACGAGCCAAGTTCGAATTCGAGCTCGATTACTAGCTTATTTAATCAACAAGAACATTCGAGTACCATGAGCTCGAATTCGGCTTGACTTCGGCTCTTTCACTCCTACTGCAACTTGTGCAACTTCAAAATTAATATTTTGACTGCCATATTATCTAATGATGGGACCCTTAAACCTAAAATTCTTGAGAAACTGAGTCAAAAAGGCCAATGAAATAGCCCGGTAGCGAGCCAACCACTTCCAGCTTCGGCAAAGACAGGAAAGTTCCTACCCCAAAGAGAGTTTTTTCTGTTTTTGCTTCCCGGTTTCTTTAGTTTCTTCTTGATTGAAGTTTAGAGAATTGGATGGACTGGTGGCTTTGGATATTATCCGTCCTACTTATGATCTTCCAATTGAAGACACTAGTCTTTTATGGAGTGAATGGAATCAAAGAGAAGTAAGCTATCGAAGGTAAGCGAAGTGGCTCGACTAAAAGGAAATTGACCGTTTCCGAGATCCTCTACTAAGGTATTCGATTTGTTATAGCAAGGGGAAGGAGAGCGGTGAGGCTTTTAATTTCAATATTATGTCTTTCGCCCCATCATCCTACATGTTTTTCGGTATAAGCTTCTTTCTACGATTCTGAAGAGTTAAGCCCTACCGTAACCTGTTCTGAGTCTCCGAGACAAGTAAACCCAACTTTAGAAGCGAAGTTCGGTTACGCGCTTGCCATATTTGAAACGTGAATTTTCCGGGAAATGTCAGCCCAAACTGCCAATTGAAAACTTGTAATTACGTCTACTTAATTATTTTATAGTCATCCCTTTTTTACCAATAAGAACAAACAAAAAGATATTTCTCCTGAAAATAGAAAAAAAGGAATAAAAATAAAAATTAAACCTGGATTCTTCAACAGTTTTAAGTGTTTTAACTCATAAGCAATTAACTGTGTAATGAATATTCCATCGTGGGGTCACCGACCATTTTCCAGACAGGCCATATGTGCAATTTAATGGACACCACAGTCTGCACATTTAATAATCTATATTCATTATTATTATTATTACAAAATAATTATATTTCATGATTTTATTTTTCCTCCAACTTTCCTCCGTGTCTTCTCGTTCTTTTTTCTACACCACTCAATCAACTTTCTTCAGTTTCTTCTTGTTCATAATTTTTGCTCAAACTGAAGCACAGTGAGTATAAGAAGAAGAAAAGGAGAAAATGAAAAAGGATGATCATGAGCTTGAAAATGATTTTATGACAAGACCATTAGAAAAAGCAACCTCAGACAGATCATCACCATCTCCTCCATTGTCTGAAGAACCTCTCAGTTCCTCCCAAAGCCCATCTTCTTCAGATCACTCTTATGCCTTCACTGGTTATCTTTACTTGCTAACTAAATTGAGAAACATAACTATGTTTTTCCTCATAAAAATGAATATTAAGAGTTTCATTTCCTTTCTTTGTTTAACTTGTGAAAAATTTTCAGACAGTGGCAGGCCAGCAGCTGGCAAGAACAACAAGATCAAGAAACTCGAGAGAAAAGGAACCGACTTTGTTACAGAATTCGCGAACACGGTGCATACCTGTATCTTTCTTGTTTCTGTTACCCCACATTTAGTTTTCTTTTGGGAATTTCATTCATTTATGGTGAATTTAAAATATTGTGCAGTGAGAATGGGGCCAAGACTTTCTGAGACAGTGAAGGGGAAACTAAGTGTTGGTGCCAAAATAATAAGAAATGGAGGCAGAGAGAATATATTCAGAGACATATTTGGGTTGTTCCATGGAGAAAAATTGCTAAAGGCTTCTCAGTGCTATTTATCCACAACAAGCGGGCCGATTGCCGGGATTTTGTTCATATCCACTCAAAGAGTTTGCTTTTGCAGTGAAAGATCCATTAATGTTCAATCTCCTTCTGGGGGCCTCCTTAAAATACCTTACAAGGTTGATCAGCTTTTTGATACACTTGGTTATTTAGTTGGTTCGTTTGTTGTAATCGCTACATTGATGATAAGCCGTATGCAACTAGTTTGATTTTATGTCTTGTTAGTTGTTTTTTTTTTTGGTTTCAATTGTCTTGCAGCTTTCAATTCCGGTGAGGAAGATAAAAGGAGCTTACGAAAGGGAGAATGCAGACAACCCGGCACAGAAGTACATGGAGATAGTGAGCCAAGATGATTTTGAGTTTTGGTTCATGGGGTTTGTGAGGTATGAGAAAGCCTTTCTGAATTTGCAGAGAGCCATTTCTATGACAGGGTAGATCATGAGATATATTTGGGTGGAAATGAAAAAATGTAGAAATAAATTTGTGTTAAAAAAAAAAAAGATGTGTTTTTATCATGAGTGACAGTTTGAGCATTGTAGATTATTGATGTATTTGTGTGTGTTATAGGTTCGGTAGTTATGGTGCCATATTCGCAAGCTGGTGTAATAATGCTACTGCTACATTTTATGTACAAGAAAATTGTTATTTGAACACTTGTTACTTCATTGAAATATTAAATGGAATTTCAGGAACGATTTCAGGAATTTTAAATCGATACCATGGCATTCAATATATATTACGTTAGATTCATTTGAAAATTCCATCTGCGCTGCACATATCTAGCAATTCAAGTACATTGTATTCATCCTTCAAAGACTCAAATTTCAGAATAATAACCCCCAAGAGTAATATATATTAAACAGAAACAGGAAATAACATCAGTCAGAGCCATTAACCTTCAGATTAGAGAAATTTCATATATATATGGATCATTTAGTGTGGGTAGATGAGACCCTGATTATAAGTTATAATAAAACCAAGGGAAAAGTATGTAATATCAGAGGCGGACCTATGTTGTAATTAGGGAGGCAATGTCCCCCAAACTTTTAAATTTTTAATATATATATATAATAAAAAGCATTGTATTCTTGTGTTAACTAAGTATTGTAAAAGCATATAATTAATAATTTTATTATTTACAAATATTATTTACTTATATATTTATTTTTAATATCATAATAATGTTCAATCTTTTGTATTATTGATTAAGTGGAGACATAAGTCGGGTCGGTTATTTTATTAAAATAAAAAAAAACTCTGTGGCAAAAAATAAAACAAAAAAAAAATGTTGTGGAAATGTATCAAACGACCGGATTTTCAAAATCCGTTATTTATTTATTTATTTTATTTTTTATTTATTTATTCAAAAAAATGAAAAACAGATTTTGAAAATTCGTTTTTCTTTTTTTTTAATGCGTTTTTAAGTTTTTTCTAAAATAAAGAAATAAAAAATAAATAAAAATAAAAACAGATATAAAAAATAAAAAGAAATTATAAACGGATAAAACGGATTTTAATTGAAGTCAAATTAGTACAATCCCGGTCAATTATTAGTGTAATCGACCTTGAATTAGTCCAATTGAAGTCAAACTAGTACAATCTCGGTCAATTATAATGTAATCGAACTCGAATTCGTCCAATTGAAATCAAATTAGTCCAATTGAAGTCGAATTAATACAATCTCGGTCAATTATAATGTAATCAAACTCGAATTAGTCCAATTGAAGTCAAATTAGTACAATCTCGGTCAATTATAGAGTAATCGACCTCGAATTAGTTCAATTGAATTCGAATTAGTACAATTTGACTTCAATTGGACTAATTCGAGTTCGATTGCACTATAATTGACCGAGATTATACTAATTCGATTTTAATTGGACTAATTCGAGTTTGATTACACTATAATTGACCGAGATTGTACTAATTTTACTTCAATTGGACTAATTTGACTTAAATTATACTAATTCGAGTTCGATTACACTATAATTGACTGAGATTGTACTAATTCGACTTCAATTGGACTAATTCGAGGTCAATTACACTATAATTGACCGAGATTGTACTAATTTGACTTCAATTGGACTAATTCGAGTTCGATTACACTATAATTGACCGAGATTGTACTAAATCGACTTCAATTGGACTAATTCGAATTCGATTACACTATAATTGACCGAGATTGTACTAATTTAACTTCAATTGGACTAATTCGAGTTCGATTACACTATAATTGACCGAGATTGTATTAATTTTACTTCCATTGGACTAATTTGACTTCAATTAGACTAATTCGAGTTCGATTACATTATAATTGACTGAGATTGTACTAACTTGACCTTAATTGGACTAATTCGAGGTCGATTAAACTATAATTGACCGAGATTGTACTAATTTGACTTCAATTGAACTAATTCGAGTTCGATTACACTATAACTGACTGAGATTGTACTAATTTGACTTCAATTGGACTAATTTGAATTCAATTGGACTAATTCGAGTTCGATTACACTATAATTGACCGAGGTTGTACTAATTCAAATTCAATTATACTAATTCGAGTTCGATTACACTATAATTGACCGATATTGTACTAATTCGACTTCTATTATACTAATGCGAGTTCGATTACACTATAATTGACCGAGATTATACTAATTCGACTTCAATTGGGCTAATTCGAGTTCGATTACACTATAATGGACCGAGATTGTACTAATTCGACTTCAATTGGACTAATTCGAGTTCGATTACACTATAATTGACCGAGATTGTACTAATTTGACTTCAATTGGACTAATTCGAGTTCGATTACACTATAATTGATCGAGATTGAACTAATTTGACTTCAATTTAACTAGACTTCAATTTGACTACTTCGAAGTCGATTACACTATAATTGACAGAGATTGTACTAATTTGACTTCAATTGGACTAATTCGAGTTTGATTACACTACAATTGACCGAGATTATACTAATTCGACTTCAATTGGACTAAAACCCTTAAACCTGAAAACTCTAACGTTGCCAGTTCATAATTTTATCCATTGGAAGCAGAGAAGCGACAATGGCAGCCCTGCACCTAGCAAATCTGATAACAAAATCGTGTCTCCGGAGACCATTGGCAAGCTTTTGCAGAGCACCCAAAAGCTATCTCAATGCCCAAAGCAGGATTTTTGGAGCAGGATATCGCCGGCGTCGGCCACCGGTTTTAAGATGTTTGGTGGTACCGGGTTCGGGCCTATGCAATTTGGTATTCGCTCTTTTCGAGTTTCGAGCGGCCGCGGAGCAAGTGGTGGTTCTGGAGGCTCCGGCGCCGGAGGGTCTGGTGGTGGTGGTGGAAGTGGTGGTGGTGGAAGTGGTGGCGGTGGAGGAAATGGTTCGGGTCTGCTTTCATGGTAGATATTTTATATGTACTTCTTTGGTATGCTTAGGCCTTTTTTGTTTTTCCCCAATTGAGTTAATGCATGTTAAAGAACTCTTTGTTTTGATTTGTTTTCTATGCATTTGCAACTTTGGGATTGTTACTTTGGAACTTTTGAATGAGATAAAGTAGTTACAATATAGCTGAGATATAAAAAAATCAGGCCTGCTTAGGTTTGCTGAGCTTTCAACATTTTTGTGCAAGTTCGTTATGCGAGTTGTGAGGCCTCGAAGGAAAACCAGTAGGAGGTTAGCAACGTGTTGAGATGCTGATTCTTCGCCAATGGATTGTCAATTAATAGCTTAAGAATATGATAATACCTGTGAATATGTTGTGCTCGTTTGTCATTCTCTTATAACAAAGTGCCACTTGCTCGTTTAATTTGTTTCCTAAAATTTTGTGCAGGTATCTGTCTCTCCTTGCCAAGCATCCTGTGATTACAAAAGCAATTACATCCGCATTCTTAACTTTGGTTGGAGATATGATCTGCCAGGTAGACTTTCTATTGCATGTGATAAAGAGCATGTAATTAACCAGAATGAATGATGGGAAAGGAGAAATAGAAAAGCTTTTTTCTTCCTTTCTTGATTATGTGCTTGAAAGCAAATAAACAATAGGTATTGAAGTTGGATACTTTGTCGAGTTCTCAGTTCTTACCGTCTACAGAAAGATTTCTAACTCAAGAAATTCTCAATACGTCTGAGGAGATGAATTTTTCGGCGAGCATAAATGCAAATTTCAAGAAAAAAAGACTGGCTATGTTTCGTTACAGGAGTCATTGAGTTACGAGTTTAATCATAGTGTTCAAGTCATTATAATGCATATACATTTATATGAATTTCCTTTTCTGACTGCTACTGTTGGTAATTTATGAAAGGATTGTATGTTTTATGGAGGAGATGACACAATCGCTTTAGTAATTCATATGCCTAACCTTGATTATTCAGTTTAAACTGTTGACGAAGGACCGGAGCCAATATCTCTTTATCCTCAGTTAAAATTTACTAGTGAACTGCTTAATAAAGCCAGACAACTTTTTGCGGTACACATATATGGTGTCTTTATTTGGAAATGGTCTACCTCATGCTTTTAAAAAGACACTTGAACTCTTAAATACTTTTCTTATTGTCATCTTTTAGTCATGGCCTGAAAACTGATGATGTCTGCTTCCACTTTGAATCGCAACTTGTAAACCAGTTGTTATTACTATGACGTTTGAATATCTTTGACCAAGGTTGCTAATATATTAGCTTGTACTGTATCTGAAGTCTGAACTTGATTAAGTTTCAACTTTCTGCTTATTTAACCTTTTAATTGTTCTATCATGCTTGCAATGGACTCATTTGTTGTGATCCTCAGCTTGTGATTGATCAAGTACCATCTCTTGACGTGAAGCGGACATTTCTGTTCACACTGTTGGGCCTGGTTTTGGTTGGTCCAACATTGCATTTCTGGTGATGTCCAGAATGCCTAATATATGCAATCACACCTTGAATGGTGCATAACTTCGTTACATATGTTATAATATGTACATATCAATCAATTCGCATTTTGGTTTCATTTAACCACAAGTAGCATTCAATAGAATGCTGGAAAAGCCTTAATAGCATAAACTAGAAACTAATATTAACTTTTTGTATTGCATGTTTAGGTATTTGTATTTGAGTAAACTGGTTACGACTCTCGGTTAGTCTTCATCCCCATCTGAATCAAATCATCAATTAAAATTAAAAAAACGAGAGAGAGAGAGAGAGAGATTCAAAGCTTCGTTGTGGCTGACCACGAGACAGCGACACATTCCTTCATTTTCCCGAACACATCACACATAGCTTCCGAACATTCACATTTGCATGATCATCGTGTTCCAAGTAACATCTCGATTTGGCATTTTACCAAACACTAGAAGTGCACCATTTATCTTACCACAGGATGCATATAAATGGACTATTACATTTAGCAGAATAATGTCGACCAAAGCCCGAGTTTTTTTTTTCATCAAAAAGCAAGTATCAGTCACCCCATGGGAAATATACTGCAATATCAGACATGCCTTGAGCTCAAATGGGGTCTTAATTTATAAAATGCCTTGAGCTCACAACATGAATTGGAAATGAGGAAGAAATAAAAATCAGTACTTTCTTGCAAAATGAACTGAAAAGGAAGCATCTTTATGCAGATAAGAACTTGAACTGGGGATAGGCATGATTTAGTGAGAGAAACTGCAAGAAAATGACAAAAATTGTAAAATTTATATAATATATGATTTTTTCTTTTTCCGGTTAGCACAATTTAGGTTCAGCCGGTTTAAGTGCTACGCCTCTCTGCTCTATCTCAACTAGTAATCAACATGTGGATTTGCACAAATATAAATTCTTAGAAAAGAAAATAAGAAACTAAAAGAAACAAAAATACTAAATCATAATTTAATTCAAGAAAAAATATTAATTAAGAAAAGAATTCTAAATATTATTAAAAAATATTTTATATACAACATTTATATTTTATATACAATATTTTAATATAACGCCATAGAAAATTTGACATCTATTGATCATTAGGTAATGCTTTTTAGTTAAATGACATTAGTAACATAATATTGCACCATAACATTTGGATTTAGAATAAGAAAAAATATATAAAATTAGAATATGGCAACATGATAATGAGATATATTGGTGTTTGAAAAATAATTCATTATTAACGATTTACACTATTAGATATATTGTTTTTTCTTGTAGGTGAATATATATATATATATATATTGAAATAGATGACTGAATATTTTTAGTTTTTCTTAATTATTTGATTTTGTAATTTTGGAATCTGAATTATTGTGTGAATCATTTTTACGTTTAATATATAATAATGTAATTTAATGATTTGTTGCTCCTCTTCATATATATCTATACTCTTATTTATAAAAAGTAAGCATATATCCTCTTTTCTTGACAAGTGTCTCCTTGAATATTAGAAGGCCACGTCGCTCAACTATACTCTTATTTATAAAAAGGAAGCATATACCCTCTTTTCTTGACATGTGTCTCCTTGAATATTAGAAGGCCACGTCGGTCAATATAAAAACGACGTCGTTCTAGGAATGAAGTTTCTGAACCGTTGATTTTAGGGATCAAATCCCTACCGTTGATTTTAGGGATCAAATCCCTACCGTCGTCTAACGCTTGAAATAATCTCCTCTCTCATTCTCGCCGACTGAACTCTCTCTCTCTCTCTCTCCCTCCCTATGTTTCTCCTTCTCTGTTCTTCACGATACACAGATAGACCTTCGATGGATTGTTTGTGAGGCGTGAGAAGAGTCTCCGCCGTTCCTCCGTCGTTCCGCCGTACAGCCGCTGCATCGTAGCCTCCCTTTATCTCCGGTCACAGGCCCTTTGTGGTGCCTTGGGCGATTCCTTCTGCGGAGGAGAGGGCTTCACAATGTGGGTCGAGCTGAGGCTTCGTTTGTCTGACGTTCATCCCGCGGGGAGATGGCCGACGAACCAATGTCGGTAAGAATATTTCTGGCTTTGTTCTAATTTATTTTTAATTTCAACTTAGTTTATCTGTATAATTTTATGAAAGAATATGTTTTCAATCCTATGATGACGTAATTTTGGGTTTATTCTGGTTTTTTCTTTGTTCTTCTGCTCTTGAAAATCAAAGCTACGTGTATTCAACCATTCTTTTTTATAACTTCGAAGGTCCTCTCCCTAACAAAATAACGATGTGTTCTGGAAAAATAAAGATGAATGGAATTTGGAAATAATTTTGTGTATATTTTTTTGAGAGGTTATTTATATTTATTTATCATTTACTTTTAATCCATAATCTTCTCTGCAATTCCCCTTTGGTTTTATATGTTATCATCTGACATTTCCTAGACGGCTCCACTTTATCATGTCCGATTTTGTATGTTGATAATGTTTTATAGGTTCATAGGTTGAGCATATATATCAAAATTCTGACATCTGAGACTAACGAATGTGTATCTGTTTTAGAATGATCTCGGGAGAGTGTTAGATTATCGTTCAAAGGATGAACTAGAGTAGCTCGAACAATGATTAGAAAGAAGTTTGGGCAACATCAGGCGTGAAAGGTATACCAACATAATATACATTTTATATATTCTGGAAACGAATAATTGTATATATAGCAGAAGATTAATCGGCCGTAAGTACTTATTTGAATCTGTTGTACCCAAACATCTTATCGCGAAGCACATTGTTCAACAAGCAAATTCATCGCTTGCTTGAAGCAACAGGTAAAAGTCTCCTACTAATGTTGATGATAAAGAAATGTGAATCAGCACAAAATTATGATATATTATTTTCGTGTACGTTCAGATTTGGCGTCTTCGTGTGTTGATGCTTAACCTTATTTGTTTGTCTTTTCGCTATTAAGTAGGTTAATATGTTTACCTTTTAAAGCAAAAGTTGATATGTATTGCAAATAATTTCATGCTTTGTGAAGTTATAGACACCTGCATATTTAAATTCCCTTCATTTGTTTGTCTTTTGGGTATTTGGTAGGTTAGGATGTCTAACTTTATGTGTTATTTATGTGCAAAGTACTCAAATTTTTTGCCTTTGTAGTGTTCTACTTCTTGGGAATATCATGCAAAAATACTTTAGTTGTTTTGATGGCTGCTTTTCCATTGTTTTGTTTTATATGTGCAACATTATAATATAAACCCTATTGTGTTGTTTTTACTAATATTAATTTAACTTAGTGATAAATTTTCTTAGTTTGCTGGATTTTAAAGGGGTAGAGGGATTTCCTGCGCATAATCTTTCAAATGAACACNTTGGATGAGGAGATCAAGGAACCATGTATTTGGATCAAATAATCACCGTTTTCCGATTAGGAGTTGTCTGTACTGCCACATCACCTTCCAATCGACCATCCATGAGAGATTGTCTGCATATTCTTCATAACTGCAGTAACAAGTTTTCTTCACAAAGTACTTTGACCCTAGAAGCGTCCTAAGATTTTTGTCGTTGGTTCAGGTGTATGGGTGCATATTTATGTGAAATATTCTGTAACTACATTTCCAAGTCAAAAGTTGAAAATTGAATTTTCATATTTCCTCAAATGTTGAAAATCAAATCTTAATATTTCAAGTTGATATGTTAAAGTTCAAATAACACAATTATTGTGAGAACGATAAGTTGACAATTATAGATCTATAAATATTAAATATACAGTTGTGAGATCACAGCAGCATATGTGCACAACAATATTGAACATGGAAAAGAGAACACATACATATTCAGAAATTGTTACCCGAGATGAAAACTCTCAGGTGCAGGCTCAATGGATGCTTGAACAAGCACTCCCAAAATCATCAAGTTCTAACGTCACTAATATTCATTCAGGGTTGAAAACTGCAGCCATATGGGTTTAGAATACAAGCGTAAGACCTGTGAGAACAAATGATGGCACATTAATTAAAGTTTTTTGTGATGTGAAGAATTCTAGGTTGAAAGTAATTAAAGTTAGTTTGTATGACTTTGTGGCCTGTCTTTTATTTTTTTTCTTTCCTTCTCTTTTCTCCTTTTTCAGATCATACTTTAATTTGATTGGCATAAGATGACACTGGAGAAAAAGGGGGTCGGATGAGTAGATAAACAAGAAGGTTTCCTGTTTGTATATTCTATAGTGATTCTTCTTACAAACATTGTCGCCATATAGCAAGATATAAAAAGAAGCACAAGGAAGTTGCACAAAACTTTTCTAGCTCATGGGAGACAGAATTTTGATCAGTACCTGATAATAATTCCTTCACAGATAGTCGCTATGCCGATGGTTGAATGCCGTCACTCATGCCTCAGAACCTTTAGACAAATGCTTTTGGATACTTTAAATATTTCATCTTCAGATTGTTATATACCTTCCAACTTGAACACCAAGAAAAAAACTTTGTTAACAAGTTAGCCAAGGTTTAATCTTCTGCTGGAAGTATTTCGCCAGCTACTTATAGATATAAGGAATGTAAGTGGAAGAATTAATATGATGAGAACCATAAGCTACAGTGCTTTCTACATTACCTTATGTATTAAGAATCTAAATGTGTGCTATCTTCCATCATCATGACTTCATATACCAAGTCAAGAATCTTGTGAATCTCATCTCCATCTTCAACTAACAAACAACCTGCATGAAATTCATGAAGATGTCCATCCATCTCGATCCAGCTACATCCCGGGGTCTTAGTTACACCCTTCTGTTTCATTAACAATCTCATTCTAGCACAATCGTCCCACCTCCTCATATCAGCATATATTTTTGACGAGATAATATAGTTGCCAGAATTTGAAGGTTCCAATTCTAACAGAAGTTCCATGGCCTTTTCACCAATATCCACGTTTTTTAGCTTCTGGCAGGCACCCAGCAAAGCCCCTAATAAAATCTCGTCCGGTTTCTGTGGCATTTTCTGAATAAAGTCCCAAGCTTCATAAATCCGTCCGGCACGGGATAGAAGATCAACCATGCAAGAGTAGTGCGCGACTTTTGGAGTTAGCCCGAAAGATAAGCTCATCATATTAAACAATCTACAACCTTCATCGACCAAACCTGCATGAACACATGCAGAAAGAACCCCGACAAAAGTGATATCATCTGGACACAAAACCTTTTCCTCATCCAACATGCGTTGAAATAAGGCGAGCGATTTCTGTGCATTCCCGTGAAAAGCAAGTCCAGATATCATTGCATTCCAAGAAACATGGTTTCGAAGAGGCATACTTTCAAATACGCGTGACGCGTATTCCAAATTCCCACATTTCGAATACATGTCAACTAGAGCAGTAGCTACATAAATGTTACACTGCAACCTTCTTTTGGACGCATATTCATCGATCCATTTCCCAGTATCAAGAGCTCCAACTGACGCACAAGCAGCTAGAACCGCAATCAGTGTGACTTCATTAGGTTCAGGTCCCGTCTCCATCATGTCATTGAATAATTTCAGAGTTTCATCTGTCTGTCCATTTTGTGAGTATCTGTTTTCACAATAAACCCAAAATCAAACCATCGGAAACGTAGTAAAAGTACCACATGCAAGAACCTGTATTATGAAATGTGGTTAACAAGATAGGCCCTGCAAATTAAAGATGAACCAATAAATATATAAACAAGCTAATTCTGCATGGAGAAATATATCTACCCAGTAATTAGGGAATTCCAAATGACTAGCTCTTTCCTTTTCATGCTATCAAAAACCCTTCGTGCAGACTCGAGTTCCCCACATTTCCCGTACATATTAATCAAAGCAGAACCAATATATGAATTATACTCCAACCGTTTCTCAACAACATACCCCTCAATCCATCTTCCCAGGCTGAGGTCCCCCAAATCACCACAGGCAGCAAGCACGCTCACGAGCGTCATCTCATCGGGTTCAAATCCATCATTCCTCATCTCTCCAAACATTTCGACCGCCTTCCGTGCAAACCCTAACCTCGAGTATCCCGATATTATCGAGTTCCATGAAACCATATCCCGATCAGTCATTTCATAGAACAGGTTCCGAGCACAATCCATCTCTCTGCAGCGCGAGTACATCGTGATCAAAGAATGAACCACGTGGAAATCCGCTCGCAGCCCAGATTTCACAACCTCGGAATGGACAGTTTCCCCCATTCTCAGGGCTGAAATGTTCCCACAGGACTTGAAGATGAACGGGTACGTGAAATTGTCCGGATTCACGCCAAGCGATTTCATCTCGATGAGTAATTGTAAGGCAAGGTCGAATTTCTGCCACGCAGTGACCAACCCCCTGATCATCACGTTGAAGGCGTAGCTGTTGAGGGGGATTTGGGGAAAGAAAAGAGTGGAGTAGCTGAAGTCCTTGAGGTCGATTAGTTTGGCGAGGATGTAATTGGGCATGGGCATCGCTATGGAGCGAACGAGCATCTGGGCGTGAACCTGCTGCACTGATCTGGACGATTTGCAGCGTTCGAGAAGGAACAAGAGACGGCTTATTAGGTTTTGAGGTCGCCGGAGCTGGCTACTGGCATGGGGGACAAATTTGGCGCGAAAACTCATTTGGATGGTGCGAGGAAGACGTACATAGATGTTTTTGATATTCTGAACGAAAGTTCTTTGTTAGTCGCTTGAGCTGAACATCTGGCGAGACTGATATTTCCGGGTTGCAGAAGACCGGCCCAGTCTAGACTACACACCTCATTGATGGCTAAAATATATAACCCTACTAACAACAAGGCTTAGAGAAAAACGGGTCGGGTCGGATATGAGTGTGGGTTTCGACAAACTCAATCTCAACCCGCATAAGTTTTACCCTACTCGAACCCGACCCATCAACTATTTATAAGTCTCCAGTTTCAGGTCGGATTTAACATGGCGAGTGAACGGGTAACCTGATTTCATCCAACGGTACATCGATCTGACTCGTATAATATATATATAAAAAAAAAAATATTATTCTACTACACAGTTAGTATAATATAACTTATAAATTGTTATCAAGGTTCAAAAAATAAATTAAAAATCTAACAAATATTTATATTTTTTTTAAAAAAAATACAATGAGATTTATTCTTTTATGATCTAGTTAATAGTATAATGTTTCTAATAAATAATGTGCATGGCTATATAAAATTTAGTATGAAAATACAAGTAATAATACAAGTACAAAAAGGCTAATTTTTTTTTTTTGTAAATTTTTGCTATTATGTTATACTAGTACGTCCCCGTGCGATGCACGAGACAAAGATATTAAATGAGTTATTTTCGTAGGTTTTGCTAAAAGGTAATAGGGTTATCATCTATTTTTCAATTATTTTAATCAGCGTTACGTCTAAAAAATAATAGGTTATAATCTATTTTCCACCTCTTTTAATCAGCGTTGTTTTTTAGCAAGAACATTAAATGTGAGTAGACTAGCTTGTAAAATAATTAATATATTATCTCACTAACACATTTATACTAATATAAATTTAGATTTAGTAGATATATTTATTCATTGATATAAGAAAATAACAGTTTTACTTATTATTGTTTACCGTATAATACTTAATTATTATTTTATTATAAACTTTGTTGTCATATAATATCATTACTATTTATAAAAGCTATATAAGTTGTACGTCTCCTATTTCTTTTTATTTTATGCAATGAAAAATATTTAATGCACGTTAGTGTTATTTATTTATGTAATCAATTTAAAATATGTAAATAAATTAAAATTAAACAAGTATAAATATTCTACATAATACACACAGATGTTTTTTTTTAGAAATTTAATTTTGTATACTAAATAAACAAATTTGATTTAGCAAATGCCAAAAACTCAATTTCTTCTATAATCAAGATTTTTCTAATTTGCATCATAAAGTTTATTTAGCATATTGTGCAATGAAAATATATTTTACAAGAATGTCCAAAAAAAGGTATGCATTTTTTTTTTTTGGTCGAAACGATAGAGAATATATATAACAAACGCACAAATGTGCAAAGATACAACTTGGAACGCAGCCCAAAGCTGAATAAAATGGGAGGACAGGTCTGACGACCGCCTAGAAGCCCAACTCTAGCAAACGCTAGAAACCAAAACAAGACACTCAGGACAACAACACAACAACAAAAATAAAAACTACAACGAAAAGCTCCCCACAGGAGAATAGAGACAGAAGCTGATCCTCATAGAATAATAAATTGCTCCCGCTCAAACTGAGGCAACAGCCCAGACCTAAAATATAGAACAAAGCACACAGGCAAAGTGCCCAGACCAAAGACACAATACTACCACAGAAAACAACAAATACACAAAAACAAAGGATAAAAGAAGCCCTTCCACAGCAAATCAACCGAACCAAACCAGCAGAGAACAGTCAATATCAAAGTATGATCCGAGTCCAGGGAATCACTTCCGAAACTGCCACAAGGCCTATACAAAAGCCAGTCCCGAACACGAACTAAACTCCGAAAACTGACCCGCCATCAACCGGAGGAACAAAAACGAAACCAACCCCCACACCAGCTCCAACCAAACCCGTCTAACACCACTAGTCGAGCTCGAGAGAAACCAATCCCCCGCCGCCTAACACCACTAGCCGAATGGAGAACGGTGAAGGTGGTTCGGCCACTCGACGTCGGCCTCCCCGACATAGAAAACGCCTCGGCATCTAGAGCAGCACCCCACCCATAGCAACATAACTCCATCCACCAAAACCACCAACCCTACGACTAGAGCCCGAAAATCCTGTCGGAAGGTTGTGGCTCGCCAAGAAGATCTCCAGCAACCCCGATCACAACCCAACACAGCCAATAGAGGGAAGCATACCTCAAGGCCGGCCCAAGAAGCCGGAGGATCGCCGTCAAAGATTCCGATTGGAGAGGCAAAGTCCCAAACTCTGACTGTCACGACTAAAATCGCCGCAACCACCAGGGCCCCGACCCATCCACAGACCCTCGTCCCTCCTAACGCCACCACTGACCGCCGAATCCGGCGACCAACCCACAGGGCTTCGCCTGAAAAAGCAAATTCGTCGGTGGGAGGGCCGCGACGGTTTGACAACCTTCAACAGCATCGGAGACGACTCGGCATCCGGGATGGGCCGAGCAGTTGAGGACGACCGCAGGCCCGAGTCCGCCGCCGCTGAGGAAGGCCGGACGATTGAGAATTAGAGCAACGACGCCGGGAAATTTTTTGGGGAGAAAAGGGGATCGGCGAGAAAAGGGGGATTGGCAAGATATGTGTGATAAACTTTTTATTTATTATTTTAAAAAAAAAAAAGGTATGCATTAAATGCTTTCAAAAATTTTTACTACTATTTTTAGTAAATGGATATTCTTATTATATATATAGATAGATATATAAATTAATCATTTCGCAATTCATAGTTTGTACACCAGAAGTATATTTAATAAAAACATTCGTGTTGAGTTTGTATTACATAATAATATAAAATTAAAAACTACTAGAAAGGGTTGAAAAACTTATTAAGTTTTTCAACCCTTTCTAGTAGTTTTTAATTTTACTATATTGAAAAACATTCAACACGAATGTTTTTACTATATTGTATTTGGCATCGATGATAACCTAATAGTGCTAGCTTGAATTACTTATAAGAAATTCAAGTGTGTCAAATACACGGTATAAGATCAAATTTCTTCACTGATTATTTTATATTTTATCATACATATGCAACTTATATAGTTATAAAAAATAAGTTACTAATCTTTTTTTTTACAATACAATTATAATAAAATTGGATACCAAAATAATAATAATAATAATAATAATAATAATAATAATAATAATAATAATAATAATAATGAGAAATGATATAGGTACATAATATTGGACATAGGGGTGTACATAACACTCACATTGAGTGGGACCGACCAAAAATAAAAAATCAAGTGGACTCCACTCCATGTGAGTGTTATGTACACCTCTGTGTACATTTATTATGTACTTGCAGCATTTTTCATAATAAAGTTAACGGTCAGGATAAAAAGCAAAAGTTCGAGTGGTCAGAGCCGTCGGATGAAGCTCGAAATCAACAGACAGGATAAAAAAGCAGAAGGTGAAAGGGCATGCATTTAATGCGGAGTCTGAACAGGTGAGAAATAAGAGGGGTCGGGGCATGGCAGACGAGGCGGTTACTTCTCGCATACGCTTCGAATTTGAATTTCACGATAAAGACCGGAAGAAGCATAAAGTGGTCGAATTTGGTTGCCCCAGGGGAGTAACAGCTCGAAGAAGTCGGTTGATCTCGTGAATGGTCGAACTCACTTTCTAAAATTGGGGGTGGAGAGGTGGAGAATATAATCTGAATATCGAGAAACCAAATTGTTAGATTGAAGATTACAAAAACAAGGTCGACAAGGTAGAATTCAAAGGAAAGAGGTCTACTTTAGGATCGAGCTACTCCAGCTTGACCAGAGTGAGGGAGTTGGGGGGG